GGACTTCAAAGAGATATCTGCATTTCCTTGTTCAGTGCAGCATTATTCACAATAGGCAACAGCTCCACTCCCAGCCACATTCTTCACTTTAATCTTCCTCTGAAAGAGAAGGAATGCCTACTTGCCTACTGTCACAAAACATGTCTTAATTCATGGTCAGAAAATCCTGTAAGGTTGACTGTATTCCCTCATCTTCTGTCCACTGCAGACTTCTATATTGACTTATTGCCTTTGCTCCCACTAAACCTTTTGGGGGCTAAACCTTTCCGTAGCTGTTTCAGATCATTTGGAGGGATATCCCCACTGTAGCTCCTTCTATGAATGTATTTGTAGTAGTAAGGAGGAGCACTCCTAGGTCATTAAGGAAGGACTTGGGTTTTGATGATGTTTTAAAGGGGAGAAACAAAACCACTGTTACTTACTACCTCTAACTAACATTTACTTAAAGCCATCTTTTGAGACTAAAAACTCCTTAAGGATTTTCTCTGTAAGTTATATATCCTCATGATGAGGAATAGTAGAACGGACTGAGGCTAAAGACCTTGCTCTGTTTAGATACTAGTGCCGAGAGATTAAAATATGCCAGCATCTTTACTACTTATTTCCTCTTTGAATTTTCAGTTTCCTGGTTTATTTTTCACTACTCTTTATTCTCATAGTTACAGAACTGTCATCTTTTTCTTTTGCTTACAGAAGTTATCAGTCACTATGGAAGATGGACTTGTCCAGGATGAGTTTTCTGAGAGTGTGAAGATGAGCACTTACCTGGTTGCTTTCATTGTGGGGGAATTGAAGAACTTGAGTCAGGACATAAATGGGACCCTGGTATGTTGTTCTGGTATTTATCTAGAAAGAGGTTATAAGGAATTCTTTAATGATTTCTGGTAACTGCTTTATGAAGGAAAACAAGCTCTTGGATCACAGCTCTCACACTTTATGACAGAAATGTTACTTTTTGCTTAGTTGTTATTTACTGTTATAAATTGAATACCTGAAAGTCAATATTTCTCAAGTTTCTTTTAATGTTACTTTTACAAGTGAATTCCAGTAAGACTATATATATATATACATCATAAAACTTCTAGAACTGTGGTGTATGCTGTGGTAGTCACTAGCTTAGTACAACTATTTAGATTTAAATTAAAATTCAACAGCAGTATCATGGCTAAATAAGATGTCCCTCATTCATGTCTCCCTACCCTAACAACAACAATTTGGCATCTATACATGTACAAAAATGCCTTTGTGAAAGCTGTGGGATCCAGCGCCATATGAGGAGGAGTCTTGAGAAAGAACATAGCTAGAGGTATCACACTTCCTTATTTCAAACTATACTACAAAGCTATAGTAATGAAAACAGCATATATGACCATCAAAAGAGTATGGTACTGGCATAAAAATAGACACATAGACCAATGGAACAGAATTAAGGACCAAGAAATAAACTTCCTCATATATGGTCAGTTAATATTTGACAAGGGAGCTAAGACTCCCTAGTGGGGAAAGGATCATGTCTTCAGTAAGTGGTACTGGGAAAACTGGATAATCACATGCAGAAAAAAGAAATTGGACCTTTCTCTTACACCCATCACAAAAGTTAACTTGAAATGAATTAAAAACTTAAAGATAAGATCTGCAACTATAAAACTACTAGAAGAAAACACAGGGGAAACCTCCTTGAGATTGGTCTTAGCAATATTTGGGGGTTTTTTTGTATATAACACTAAAAGCGCAAGCAACAAAAGGAAAGACAGCAAGGGACTACATCAAACTAAAGCTTCTACACAGCAAAAGAAACAGTCAACAAAATAAAGGCAACCCGCAGAATGGGAGAAAATATTTGTAAATCATTTCCGATAAAGGATTAATAACTAAAATATATAAAGAACTCATACAACTCCATAGGAAAAACACAATCTAATTAAAAAATGGGCAGAGGAACTGAATAGAACTTTCTCCAAAGAAGACGTACAAATGGCCAACAGGTGCATGAAAAGGTGCTTTACATCAAGAGAAATGCAAATCAAAGCCTCAGTGAGATACCACGTCACACCTGTCAGAATGATTATCATCAAAAGAAGAAGAGATAACAAGTGTTTGTGAGGATGTGGAGAAAAAGGAAGCCTTTATGCACTGTTAGTGGGAATGTAAATTGGTGTAGTCACCATGGAAAACATGGCGGTTTCTCAAAATATTAAAAATGTAACTACCATATGATCCAGCAATTTCACTTCTGGAGATTTGATGTCTATATCATTTTTATATATATATATATGTATATATATGTGTATATATATATATATATGAAATCGTATCAAAATATTGATGAAATATATTTTCTAGCTCTATTCTAAGAAACACTACAGCCAATCGGTTTGCAAACTGTAAAGACTATATTAATATGATGGATGCACCTATCAATTGCAGCATTCAATTCCAACATTGTTTTGCCCACAGACTTCCTTTCAATAGAAACCATTCATAACGCTACGGCGAAACAAGATTTTGAAATAACCTAGATTTCTGTCTATGGATGAATGAGTAAAGAAGATGTGGTATATATATGTACCATATAAATAATAATGTATAGAATATTATTCGGCCTTGAGAAAGAAGGAAATCCTGCCATTTACAACAGCATGGATGGACCTTGAGGGCATTATGCTAAATGACATAAATAGAGAAGAAAGACAAAAACTCACTTACATGTGGAATCTAAAAGAAACCAAACTCATAGAAACAGAGTAGAATGGTGGTTGAGAGGAGCTGAGGGCTAGGGGACATGGGGAGATGTTGGTCAAAGGGCACAGACTTCCAGTTATAAGATGGACACATTCTGGGGACCTAAAGTACAGCATGATGATAGTTGTTAATAACACTATTTATCATACAACGTGAAAGTTAAGGGAATAAATCTTAACTATTCTCACCATAAGAAGGAAAAGGTAATTATATGAGGTAATGGAGGCATTAACTAATGCTGCCGAGGTTCAACATGTTGTACACCTTAAATTCACACGTTATATATTACATCATTAAAGTTGAAAAAAAGTTAAATTTAAAATTTACTTCCTTAATTTCAGGAGCCACATTTTTTAGTGTTCTTGTGACTTAGTGGCTACCATACTGGGTAGCACCAATACTGAATATTTCCACCAATACAGAAAATTTTATTGGGCAGCATTAAATCTAGAACCTTGTGCAGACTTAAAAAATAGTGTAAAAACATACTTAAAAGAAAAACTCCAGGTTGTAAAACTTAGTCAAATCTTCCTTTTTTTAAAAAGGAAGTCCTGATTGAGTTTTTTTCATTTTAGAGTAATGAGCAAGATTGTTTAAGGGTCTGGTATATCTGTCATTTTTCAAAATTGATTATTTGGTCTAATTAGGCTCCTCTGCTTTTTTTTTTTTGTCATTAGTACCTGTCTGTAAATGATTTTTGATAGATTTTATGCTTTAATTTTATAGTAGAGACCTAATAAAGCTAATATTTTCACATACTGACAATATAGAAGAAAATGGTCTTTTAAAGCTAATACTGATTATTCTTTATGATAGAAATATGATGGAATTCTTTTTTAAATATATTGTTTACCCTTTGAACACATGCAATTGGATTTAGGTTTTCTTTCTAAAGAGCTTTATTTTAATCACAATATACTTGTATCATTATTGTGCTAATTAAAAAAAATATACTTCTGTTAAAAAGATTATCATGTCTACCCCATAACTCTTAGAAATAGGGACAGAGATAATGACTGTCTGGCTGTATAATTGGCAATAATACTGTATGCCTTTATGCTCAGTGTAAAGGATGAACTATTCAAGAAGTAAAGTAAGTGATCAAGGGTAAGCATAGACTACATATTGAATATATTCAATATGATTTACTCACCTTTGGATTGAAAGAGATTTTGTCAAGTCTAAACCAAAAAATTTTTCAGAAACTTTTCAAAAGGTTATTAAGATTGGTTTAAATCTGAAAAAAAAAAAAAAGAATTAATTCCTTTTTAAGCATTGCACCACAAATTTAGCCCTTGATTTAGATGTTGCAGCCTTGGTGAAATCTAAAAATCTCGTCTAGAAAGTTAGATTTGCTTCTCCCATGCCAGCCGAAGACCTCTCTTTCCTTGAAGTGTTTCATTTTTTCCACAGCTGGGGTTAATCATCCCTCTGATCTTTCATAGCACTTTAGTTACATTTCTGTTGTAATTCTTATCACAGTCTTTGATATAAAACCCCCAGCACTTTTTATTGTATCCCAAAATGTGTACAGACTTGGCTTTTTCTTTTCCCTCGGTCCCTGCATCTCGCTCTCCTTCCCTCTCCCTTCTCTCCCTTTCTCCCTCCATCTGTCCCATACTCCATCCCACTGTTTTTCTTTCAGCTTTTATGTTGGCTTCTTACTGCCTGTAGGATTACATTCAAATTCATCATTGTGATATTCAAGGCCCTCTTATAAATTAGATTATATTTCCAATTGCCGTAGTGTGGATTCTTCCATGTAGGCAAGTGGAATTATCCATTACTCAGATATTATACCTCATTCTGATAGGTAGGTAGGTAGGTAGGTAGGTAGGTAGATAGATAGATAGATAGATAGATAGATAGATGGATAGATAGATAGATAGATAGATAGATAGATAGATAGATAGATAGATAGATAGATGGATGGATAGATAGATTATTGAGAGAGAGAAATTTCAGGTGACTTTTTTTACTTGTTATTTATGCGTATTAGGAAGCAACACGGTTACTCATGGAATCTGGAGTCTACCTCAAGAGGAAAGGTTCAGATCCTTCCTCTGTAGCTTATTAGCTATGTGTCGTTGGGCAGACTCCTTTGTAATCCTCCCTAAACTCACCTTCTACAACTCTAGTACTATATTGCCTATATTGGCCTGCCCTCTGAAAGATTAAATTTTTTAAATTCCTGTAAAATGATCAGATAGTAATATACACACACAGAGAGTACACTCTTTTCCATATGCAAATATATCATAAACTGCCTTGTATGTCTGTAAATATAAAAATCTTTATCATTTTTAATGCTACCTAGTAGTAAATATGTTTTGAAAAAGTTAATGTTATACAAATAAACAATTATTTTATTAATTTTACCTTTTTTCAGTAGGAAATATGGATGATCCTACCATACACAGAGTTTACTCTGTGCTGGCAGCGGTCTTAGGCACTCATTTATAAACATCTTTTCATTTTATAAACCAAATAAGGGGGACGTATTAGCCCAATATTGTTAATCAATAAACTGTCTCAGAGAAGTTAAGTAGTTGACCCAAGGTTATATAACCAGTAAATGATAGTAAGAATTGTACTATTCACCACAATATGATGTGTCTTATACCAAATGATATAAATAACTTATGTAGGTATGGTGACCAGAAATTCAGACTTGGAATCTATCAAGGATTTTTGTCATGTTAAAATGTGGTAATCTCTAGGATGGGTTCTATTTTGTAATATTTGACATTAGGCCTATTTCACAAGATTCGGGGATAAGGCAGTAGGGCTTTACTTACTATTGTCTTTCTTACCAAACAACTTCAGATGTCACAGTTGACTAGTGATTGTTAAACTTGTCATGTTCAGTGGTAAAGACTACTAAGTTGTCAAAGGCCTGAAGAAAGAGGAACATTTGTTATTTCTGGCCATTCTTCAGTATTCCTTTAACCTCTCTCTGCCTTTAGTAATATCAGACTTAGAAAATTCTAGGCTGGTTTTGAAATGCACTGCTTTTATCTGTTGTCTTGAGGGTTTTGTTTCGTTTTGTTTTTGTCATTACCTGATTTTTTTTTTTTTTTGACCATAGGTAGAATCAGAATCCATTGGTGTTTAGTCAGATGTGGACACTATATCTTTTTAACATTCAAACAGAACCTTCAACAGAATAATCCATGTCGTTATAATTTTAATTTATTCATATTCAGTCAGGAACATGGCTTATTTCCAAATTTCTACTAACAACATTTCTGTCTCAACTCTCTTTCCACCAGCCAGGGACATTGTGCATAGTTTATATTGTTCTCTTAAAGTCCCATCAGTTCTTTTAGATAGACTTGATACTAGTGGTTTCTTTTTCTTTTTTTTCATCTTTTTCTTTTTCTTTTCTTTTTTTTTTTTTTTAAAGACTTCCTGCTTTTTTGTGTGTTCAGCTGTCTGTTTAGGAAAGCTGGTGTTTTTGAAGAGCAGACTATATTATTATCCTTTGAGAGGGAGATCTGATTTAGTTCTGTTTTTACTTTTGTTTTATCTAGTTTTTGCTCTTATTAAATTAAGGAACACATTAAGTTAAAGCTAACAAATCTGTTACTCCTGAGTCTTAAAGAACGCTTTGCTCTGAGAGTTGACCAGGACTCTTTTGTTGTATCTTTTAGAAATCTTCCAAAGGTCTTAGCAAGAGATCTTGCAAGAAAAATTTTAAGTCTCAAGGCGTGGGTGCCAGCTAAGAGCAGTGTTTAGAGTGCTCTTACCAAGAGCAAAAAGTCAGTCAAGACTTTCTTTGTTAAATTAGATTGCTCTCTTCGTTTATTTCTTATTGCTTCTGTTGCTCTTTAAACAAGCTCAATAATAGTTATAACTACCATGCAATTTATCTCTAGTGACAACTCATAGTACATGTTCTTTTAAGGAAAAAGAAGTAGAGGAAAGAGAAAATACCACAGTACCTTTTTCCCCTAATTATTGTATTCCAGAAATGGGACTAAGTGGTTCTTCGGTCAGATTTCAGTTTCATGTGAACTTCTTTTCTTTCTTTTTGCTTCTGAGGAAAGGTGCTTTCACACGCAGCGATGGGAGTGGCCAAATGGTATGCCTGGCAGAAGGATGTTTGAGGAGGAATCTGGAAAATATAGGTGGTGTTTCTATTGGGATAGCATTTTCAGGATGATTGCATCAGCTATAACATAAAATATGTATGTCTGGAAAGAACAGGCAGATATAATAATGGCATCTCAAATTCCAAGTGATCTTGGTACAGTCATTTATAATGGCAGTTAGAGATTTAAAAGGAGTATGTCAGGTTTTTTATTATTATTATTTTAGTGCTAACACTAATTTCAGAGGGAGAAGGGTACAGGAAGTGCATGTCAGCAGGATGAGCTTGTGGTTCTCTTGGCAGGTGGTGGCTGAATTCAGTAAGCTGTGGTCACAGCCATGTACCAAGGGCTGCATATGGTAGAATGTTGGGCTGGTCCAGTACATGTGGCCACATGTTGTGGGAGATTACATTTCTTCCATAGTTACTTAAGAATGCAACATATTTTTAATTGACTAACTCTGGTTCTAGATACTTCATTCTTCTATTAACTGTTGCTACAAATGCTCTATTCATACATTTTGCCTACTTCTGATGGGACTCTTGTTGGTAGTAATGATAATAACTACCATTTATTGAACCTCACTATTCCAAGTTCATTTAATCCTCACAGCAGCCATATGAGGGTAGGAGCTACTTTTATCATCATTTTATAAAGAGACCGAGTTTAACTAATCTGCTCAAGATTACACAGCTAGCTGAGATTCGAACCTGGCACTCTTAACTACAGAACATATACATTTAATTTTGTTGTTTATTTACTAAAAACTTTTATGCCATGTTTCCCCCATGTTTCCATGATTAATGCATATGTTCTGTAGACTAAAGCCCCACCTAAAGGCAATTATGGCTGAAATGTATTTGGTCTCTTAGAAATTGTTAAGTCTTTCAGCCCTTTAATGGGAGACTAAAATTAATTTAAAGTTAGAGTACACCAAAATATTTTGTCCAAATGATGAATTATTCAATAAGTCCCCGTACCCCACCTGTTGAAATCCTTATTTTGAGGTTTTTATTTTCTGCTGTGTCTTGTCCACATTCTATTTTCCAGGTGACTATAGAGGGCTTATTTTTCAATCAATTAAAAAACAATAAATAATAAATATTGTTTTTTAAAATCCATTGCTTTTAACATAATTGCTTAAATTTTGCCTTTTGATACTTATCAAATAAGATGGTTAGTCACATCATAAATATTTAACTTATGCAGTTAGCAAAAGAGAAAAGAATAACAATTTAAATAATGTGGGTGATTGCATCTGCCTTCGTCCCAAGCAAGCATGTGTCCTAGAGTGAATGGGCAGTGGAGACATTAATTACCATCTCCTTAAGTTGAATTTAGTTATAGTTACAGTGTGTCACTCACTGAGTATGATCACTTTTTATACAGTATGGTTCATAAAAGCAAGCCAACAACTGGGAAAAAGTAAACTGTCCCAAGGCTGTAAGAAAAACTAGCTGTGTCAGACTTATTGAAAGGGAATGTATTGGAATCTAGTAGGGTTTTCAGGGTGATTTCCACCCATGTGCAATTTCTGCCTAATGCGTTTACTTTAGAACTAACTCCCTCTTAAGTTGTGATTTTTCTCTGTTGAGTGCCTGCTCGATACCAGGCACTGTGATGGGTCTTAAAAGAATGAAAATCTAGTTTTGTCCTTCAAGTAATTCACAATCTTCATAGCTCAGATGCAAGGAGGGGCAACTGTAGGTAATGGAGAGGAAGAAAAGAGTATTATAAAATTAAATAGGCAAATGCTTATAAATTGCTATAGAGTGACCTGAAATAGTTTATTTTGGAGGTCATGTTAACTTTAAAAAGAAAAGGAATTCTCAAGTTTTTTAAACACTGTTTATGTATGGAAGTGACTTGCTAAACTCTGCAGGAGCTAAAAGAACTATAAGCAAGAGTTTCTGTCTTGAAAATTCTCACAACTCTGCACAGTTCTGACACATGCTAATCTTGACACTGTTCACCTGAATATCATGACATTTGAATTATACCTGTCCTTACATCATGCATAATGTTTTCTTTTAGGTTTCTATATATGCTGTACCAGAAAAGATTGATCAAGTTCACCATGCTTTGGAAACAACTGTGAAGCTTCTTGAGTTTTATCAAAACTACTTTGAAATTCAATACCCACTTAAGAAATTGGGTAAGAATCAAACAGTGCCTCTGATTTTTGTTACCATCGTAACCTAGATTCATTTTGCAAATGTTTTTTAGAAAGAACTCTTGCCAGAGTTATTATAAAAGAAAACCGAGAAACACTGTTAATGTTTTAAAACTGTATTTGTTAAGATTATTTCGATTTTATGAATGTATCTGAACATGGAGCTTAAAACTCTTAGAAGTTTATGGGGCAGTTACAAATGTGCCATGTAAGTGAGAACTGGCATAGAGTTAGTCTGGACTTTTGACTAATTCTAACTTTCTAAGAAATTCCTGACTCAAATAGTGAAAACTGAGCAATGGAAGCTTAGGAAAGCAAGTATTGTTCAACATGGAGCTGGCCCTGGATAGGAGAGAGTTGGCCCTGCACACTGTGAAGGAGTTAGGTGTCTCTTCCTTTGGGCAAGGGGCAGAGGAACAGTGACGCTCCAGAGGTTCGGTCAGATCTTCCTCAGCCGATGGGTCGGTGAGGTGCATGCAGGACTAGAGTGAGGAGGGCTCCTTTCCTTAGTATAAAACGAACTCACTGTCTCCCGATCCACAGTGATAAAATAATAGGTGAAATATTTTTATTTAACCAGAGTGTGCCTTAGATGAGGAAAAGTCGATCACTTTTTTCCTGTTATGTCCAGATTTGGTGGCTATTCCTGACTTTGAAGCAGGAGCAATGGAAAATTGGGGTTTGCTCACCTTCCGAGAAGAGACACTCCTGTATGACAATAATACTTCTTCGGTGGCGGACAGAAAACTGGTTACTAAAATCATTGCTCATGAGCTGGCCCATCAGGTATTATAAGCCAAGACTATTATCTCCTAACTGTGGTCTTTTTCATATCCTAGGTCATTAGAATAGATTTAGATGCTAATAATAATTCACCTTTGTATTATTTCCTTCTTTCATAATAAAATGATGCATTTTAACACAATTTTCAAATGAAAATGCTATCTAATGTTTGTATAGAACTTTACAGTTTATAAAGCATCTTCACATCTGTTATCTCACTTTTTATAACTGCTTTAAGGTAGGTGATAATCCCATTTACAGATGTGGAAATGATTCAGCTTAAGTAAATGACTTGCTGCTCAAAGTCACACTGTAAATGAGTGGCAGCACTGGGCCCTGAAGAACCACACTGTCTCATCAAGATCTCAATCTCTCTTTACCCCCCAATAATACAAAGCTGTTTTGCCTCTGACAAATGACAGCTGCTCAGTATAACTTTGTGGTGAAAAAATCTTTTTCCTAAATTGTATTCTCACAACTCTTGGACTGTAGTTGTCAGGATTAAATTATTTTTTCCTCTCCTGCTAGAACTGGATTTTTATTATTATTATTAATTTGAGAGAGAGAAGTACTCTTTATATGACATGGAAAAAAAAGAAAGAAAATTATATAGGTATGTGTCTTCCACAGCACCTTGTCTCTCCTGTGCCCTTGATGAGATGCTTTTCAGTGTTGGGCATGGTTTGAGGTTTTTGTGAAGGTGGGAGGACATGGAAGAAGAGTAGGATATGCTCTGGGCAGTTTACTCCCTATCTGAAACTCAATCTGAAAGACTCTATATCCCTTGTGAAGACTTCATGACATGCTGGCACGTGAAGCACATACTTATTTACTGTTATTGTTATAGTGTTAGGCATGTAGACAAGGCATGTAGGCACAGCAGTTCCTAAACTTTTTGGCACTAGGGACCAGTGCTCCTATAAGAATCTAATGCCTGATGATCTGAGATGGAGATGCTAGCACTGGGGAGCAGCTGCAAATACAGAGGAAGCTTCGCTGACTCACCTGCCACTCACCTCCTGCTGTGCGGCCAGGTTTCTAACAGGCCACGGACAATACCAGTCCGAGGCCCGGGGGTTGGGGACCCCTGATGTTGGGAATATCCTCTAGGTCCGTTATTTCTGGAGCCGCTCATCACTACTTGGGGAGTATTTCTCTGTCGCTTCTTCTTTAGGATTTATAAATCATCTTCATCTGAAATAAGTTTTAAAATATCTTTGAAAAATATGCTCTTGTAATTTCAGTGTTTTGTAACTTTATTGTTTTGCTGCTGGTTTGAGACAAGCCCTAGGCCACACCGACTAAATTTAATACTCTGTTACCTCTCCTTACTTCAGGGGTTTTTTAGATACATTTTTTAGGACAGTCTCATCATTTTCTCCTTCTTACTATCTCATAGAAGAACACATTTAAGATCCTCCTGATTTCATTTATTTATATGCATGCCAACTTTCTTAAGGAATGTTGTTTGAATTCTGTCTTGAATCATGTAAATACCGTCTTCAACTTGGGTAACTGAAGAGAAACATGAAGTATGGGCTCTCTGATTGTAGGAAAAACTCTCAGAAGTTTATTTAATTGTCATGGATGATCGTAGATACAATGGAAAATAATCTTACTAATTTGATATTAGAAGGTAGAAGAATTCATTATCTAAATTTCATTTTTAATGAGATGTCTAAAAACTAGGGTATTTTTCGTACCTAGTATATAATATAACATGCTAAATTGATAAATATGCTAATTGTCTGTCTTGCTTTTTTCCCATTCAGTTAAGGTGAAATGTTAAAATTTTTATTTTACTTTGAAAGTATATACAGCTTTTGTAAGTCTTTAATTTGAATATGGTTTTAACTATAATAGCTGTGTTTTAAGTAATTGCAATCTAGTTTTAGGTAATTAATCTAACAATTCAATTATTAGAAAATTCTCGAGAATGTAAATATTGTGTTGGTTAGTAGTTTGTTTTTTTCCCACAGTGGTTTGGTAATCTGGTAACAATGCAGTGGTGGAATGATCTGTGGCTAAATGAAGGTTTTGCTACTTTCATGGAGTACTTCTCTTTGGAAAAAATATTTGAAGAGCTCTCCAGTGTAAGTATCATGTTTGTTAGGCCTACTATGAGTGCCAGGGGGAAAAATAGTCAAATTATATTAGCCATGTATTTTCTATGAATTTGAAGTAATAAAAATATTTCTAGAAAGATACAATAAAATTGACCCCTGTTGCTGATGTCTGTACCTTGTGAGATTTGACAATGAAAATTACGCTTTTATTTACTGACATATTCCATTGAAAGCTGAAAGTATGTGGAACTATTTTACATTTTGTTAAGATGAACGTTTTACATTGATTTGCTGCATTTTATTTTTAATAAATGTGGCCCTTCTGCTTGGAGGAATTTAAAGTCGAAAAGCCTTTTTTTGCAAAACAAAACTTTTTATCCTGTGCATAAAGAGAAAAAAATCAAGATATTTTGTTGCAATGTTGTCTCTATTATCACTGTGATCATGCTTATAACAGTGATACATAGTGATAGGTTGATACAGACAAATAATTTGCCCTTTTTAGGTACAAACCATATTTTGTCTCTTTTCAAAGACTTGGAACACTATTCTGTTGTAGAGGGTATGATAATGTCATTATATTACTAGACTCTCTGGAGATGTTTCCTATCCTTAGATATATTTGGATACACTAGGCCATGATATAACTGATATTGCCAAATAATTCAAGCAATAGATGGGAAAATATAAAGATCCCTTTCAACCCTAAAATTCTGAGACTTTTTGTTAAACTACCTGGATATATGATCCAAGACTGCTTCAAAACAAGAATACTCTTAGAGCTTTCAATTTGAAATTTTTGTGTAGGGCTTGTTCAAAAATTTCAAGTGGTAGAACTCATTTTTAGCTAGAAGACTAAACAGGTATTTAAATCGGTGTATGCTATTTAATTAAGCAGTGAGATATACAGTTTCACCACTTGGTGGTGCCCAGAATGTTTAGAAGCTTCTAATATGTATTCTAGGGGAGCTCATCTGCTGAGCTCTCAAGAATTCTTTCTAAGAGTTATATTTTATTTCAAATGAACTTCAATTAAGGGAAATGTATATTAATAGAAAAACTGAACTATATGTAAGAAATCAGCTTAATGTCCAGTTTTTATTTTTTAATTTCAGATTTTATTTTAAAAATATCTACTAGCCTTTTTAGATTATTCATCTCAAATATCAGGATTTGACATTTGGTTGCTTTAGTAATGGATTCTTAACTTATGCCATTGTTTAGGAACCACTGTTTTTCATGTGTCCAGGAGGTTATAATTTTATTTTTAAATGTAAGGAACATGCATGAATATCACACTCTTCCTATACCTTCAAAAACTTCTGTTCTGAAGTTTAGTGAAGCTGGTTATTTTTTCATAATGACTTTAAGCAGTAAATAGTCTAATTCATATAAATAATTACTATATTTGCCTTTGCCTTGGATACTGTTCATGATTTCCTAATCTGTTTCATTTTTTGTTAGTATGAAGATTTCTTAGATGCTCGACTTAAAACCATGAAGAAAGATTCCTTGAATTCGTCTCATCCAATATCATCATCATCTGTTCAGTCTTCAGAACAGATTGAAGAAATGTTTGATTCTCTTTCCTATTTTAAGGTATTGCTATGTACAAAAAAAAGTACTCAGAATAGGTTTAAAATTAATTTCATATGTGAGCAAGTTGCATGATTTTGATTACTTTAAAGATAAAATGAGTATTATTTTCAGATATCCTGTTTAACATGTTTGCCTCTGTTTCAGTATTGTTCTTAACTTTTTCTGAGTTATTCTTTCTCCGTCTCTCGTTTAAGTTCTCTGACCAGTATTCTGGGCAGTTAACCAGACCTTATAGCAATGTATCTTTTAAAGTTGGTTCACTCTTTAGATCTGCAGGTAGAATATGTCCAGAGAGGGTTCTAAGCAAGCCCTTGGCTGTGTTATTCAAGATTGAGGCATATTCCAAGAATTGCCAAAACGAGTAAGCAAAAAGGTTTTAAGAAGCGAAGGTTAGATTGTAGGATCAGAAACACACACTTCAGGCTTGGTAGTGGAGCAAAAAACAGAAAAATTGACACCTGATTTCACGATCGCCATAGGTCAGAAGAATAGAGATATCAGTGCCATTCACGTTTGTGTTGGGGGAGAGTGGTGAGTTTTATGCCCTCATTGCCTCCTTACTCTGGCTGTCACATTAATTGGTTAGTAAATTGAATTCCTGTCTTAGAGAAGAAAATACACAAAACATGTGAGATACAGTCCATATCAAGAAATTCAAAGTTTAGGTGGTGAGTACTTGTGAAGCAATAAGAAATAATATGTGCTAAATAAATGGTACAGAGTATTTTCACCTGAGATTATGAAGAGGAACTTTTTGGAGGAAAATGGAAATTGAAATAAACAAGAAGAATATAGGTTAAGAAATGGGAAAAATAGATGGGAAGAGGGATGGAATACTAATGGGCTAGTAATTTTTGTTTAGTCAGGAATGTTTGATTGCAGGGGACGTGCATGTGGAGTAGGGGAAAGATGAGAAAGGTAGGTTGGGGCCCAATTGTGGAAGGTCTTGAATGCCATTAGTAAGCAACAGGAAGCTTTAGAAGATTTTCAAACAGAGGAATGACTTAATTAAAGTTACCATTTGTTTCAGTTTATAAAATGGATTTAAGTGAAGTTAGCAAATTGCTGCTGAAGTCCAAGCATAAAATGGTAAGAGTTTGAAATTAGGAGTGGTAGTGAGAGTGGAAGGAAAGTGATGGGTGTAAAAAACACTGGGTAGAGGGAAGTACTTAAAGGCAGGTAAAGAAGGAAGAGAAATGATTTTTAAGATCAAGCCTGACTGGCAGGGAGAATGGTAATACTGTTAACCAATAAGGAAATCGGGAGTTTAATGAGCAATATTAAATATGTTCCAATTAGAGCTACTGCTGGGATTTCCCTCCCTCTTTAATTCTCCCTCCCCACATTTCCACCCCTCACCTACGGATGTTGCCTTCTCCCCTTAAGAACTGAATCTCTGAAGGCCGGGCGTCTACTCTCACATGCTCACTGCATGCACCTGGGGCCTGGCACACCCAGCGGGCCTGGCGCACTTGGGGCCTGGAGCACCTGGTGTATGGTTCATGGCTCCACCTCGGGTGCAAATCCACGACCTTATTCGTGTAAAGCAGATGTGCTAACTACTACACTATGGAGCCACCCCTGCTGGGATTTGTAAAGGCTATACTGGACCTGTCAATTAAGAAAATTTTAAAACTTGTGGTTTTAAAATTTGTGGTTTTAAAACTAGGAGAATCATATAGAACAGTTATTTCAGGATTCGTTGTTACAGAGCTCTGTCTTCCTCCAACTCCCACCCTCTAAACCCAGAATTCAGTGTCTTCTGATCATGTGGTCTTCACAGCATACATAACCCCTGTTAATATGGTAACTGCTTATTTCAGAATTGAGAATCTGGCAAATATCCCACATAATTGAGAAAAGTAGGACACTGGATAATTTACTAATATTATGTACAAGAAGAAGTAAGTGCCAGTAGGGAAAATGTTTGACAGACATATTCAGTTTGGTCTTCATAATCTTTAAACCTAATTCTGATGCAGGTTGTCATGTGAGCATTCGTTCGTTTAGCAATCTTACAAGTACCAGTCATGTGCCTGGCGTTGTCCTAGGTGCTGGGGATACATCATGGAACAAAGTGGACTATGTTGCTTCTACCATGGGGCTTCCATTTCAGGTGTCAGAGACAGAGGCAGACACTGTACAAATGAGTGAATAAAAAAGTAGATACTGTGTTAGGTGGTAAGTGCTAATATGAAAATAAAGCATGGTAAGAGAAATGAGAGTGACATGTTTTATGTAAGATGGTGGTAAGACCACTGATAGGTGATATTTGATACCATCTGGAGGATAGGAGGGAATGAAACATGGATTTCTGAGGAAAGAATGTTCCAGGCAGAGGAAATAGCCAATGTGTAAGACTTTTGTGCAGAAACTAGTTCATGTAGTAGACCTAGGACTGCAAGGCTGGCTCTTGGCTGGTTTCTGAGAACTTGCATTTTGGGAGTTTCCATCATTTCCTGATAAAAGTGACTTGCTGTGCCTCAATTGTTTGTACAAACAACATGGCTTATGCTAAATATCTGTTTTTCTTGTGGAAGTCTGGAATTTTGGTACATACCAGGCAGGGGATACCTCTATGACTAGCCCCTAATATAAATACTGGGCACCGAATCTCTAACAAAGTTTCATGGTAGACAACATTTCATATGTGTTGTCACAACTTATTGCTAGGAGAATTAAGTGTATCCTGTCTGACTCTACTGGAAAGGACTCTTGGACGCTTTTATCTGGTCTCCCATGCACCTTTTCCATTAGCTGATTTAGCGTTGTATCATTACACAGGAGTAAATTATAGTGGTGAGTATTACTACATACTAAATTCTGTGAGTCCTCCTAACACATCAACAAACCTGGGACTTGTCTTGGTGACCCTCACACAGCTTGAGATAAGAGATTGCTTGGCATGTTCAAGCACCAGCAAGGAACCAATGTGTCTGGAGTGGAATAAACGAAAGAGAAAGTAGTCAGCGAAGTCAGAGGGATTATAGAAGGCCAGATCATTTTGTTTGGTCTAATAGGAAATGGTAAGGACCTTGATTTTATGGTAAGTGAAAGGAAACGCCATTTGGGTAAGGAAGTACTATAGTATGACTTTTTTTTTAGAAGATCATCACTGAGCCTTTAATATCACATGGAGTCAAGATAACTAGTTAGGAGGTTATTGTAATAGAGCAGTGGTAAGATGATGTTGACATGGACTAGAGTAATAGTAGTCTCAGTGATGATCTGTGAGTATTTTTGGACTATATTGTACAGGTCAATCCAGTAGACTTTGCTAATGGATTATTTGTGGAATGTAAGAGAGGAGTCAAGGATGACTTCAAGATTTTTGCCCAGACAAATAGAAAAATGGAATTGTTATTTGATGCAATGGAGAACACTATTGGAGGAGCAGATTTGGGGAAAGAAGAAAATAAAAAGTTCACTTTTTGAGTAAGTTTAAGATGCACAAATGGAGATACCAAGCAAGTAGTTGTTACTAAATTCAAGGAGTTTGTTTTGCCTGCACACATCAGAGCCAAAGAAGACATGGACAGGAGTTAGCAGCAAAGAAAGCAGAAGTTTATATAAGGAAATGGCACCAGCCGAGATACACAGGTGCGCAAGTACTCTTAAGACCTGGTTCCCCAGTGGCCTCTAGGGGATAGGTTATATAGAGGAAAAATCATTAGTCATGGTAGCTAAGGGAGTTGGGTCATAGATTCTACTGATTGGAGTAGGAGGAAGTTGATCACTGCATCAGGTCCTGTGTCAGTCAGGCGCCATTCTGTCTGGTTTCGAGGGAATACCAGTAGGGTTGTTCCTCCTCCGTGGGTCTGGGCTGAAACACAACTGAGGTCAAGATATTATCTTTAGTTTGACCAAATCTCTGTGGTCAACAGATCTGAGGCTTTGTTCCTAAGACTTTTTGATGCTGACTTGAGAGCTTAATGAGTAAAGGAGTGGTCATGCAGTAGTATGTGGAAGGATAAGGAAAGAAAAGAAGCAGGTGCATACAGAACCAGTTTGAATCAAGGAGAAGGAGAAGAGAAAAAGTCCTTTTAAAGAAGTGAATATTTGTACGGTTACACAGTTGGATATGAGTCTGGAATTCAGAGAGGAAGTATGGTTAAATATAATAATTTGGGAGTCATTTAAAACCCCTGGAGTTGAGGAGATCAACTGGGAAGAAAATTTAGAGTGAAGAAAAGAGGTCTGAATATTAAATGCCAGGGAACGTCAAAGTTTAGTCCTTGGGAAGATGAAAAAGATCTAGCAAAGGAGACTAAGAGGGATGGCCAATGGATAGGGGGAGAATCAAGAGTGGTGTCTCAAGGCCAAGTGCAAAAAGACTTTCAAGGAGGAGTGTCTGATCAGTTAGCCTAAATGCTACTTACTAGTAGACTGATTAGATGAGTCTAAGAATTTATATTGGTTTGACACCACGAAGTTCACTTTGAAATAACCTTGATAAAAGCATTTCGAATGGAGGGATGGTTGGAAGATGGCTGAAGAAAAAATGGAAAGAGAGCAAATGGAAATGGCAAATGCAGAAAACTCTTTTGAGGAGTTTACTACAAAGGGGAACAAGAAATAGGGTGACAACTGGAGGAGTCATAGGATTAAGGAAAGGAAGGGCATCTCCTATTTGTTTAAAATGAAGACCGTTACATAGTTTTTGTTTGTTAATGGGAATGTTACAGTAGAGAGAGGAAGTTGGTGATGCTGGAGAGAAGGGCAACTGTTGGAAAAAGAATGAGTACTTAAATTTATAGAATAAGTAACACTGTAAAGTGTCATATAGAAATAGGAGAGTAATAGATATTAAATTTAGTTATGTATATATGATAATCTCAATGACTTAACATTGCTGCATTTTTATCAGAAGTGAAATTCATTCAAAAAGCATTTGAATCCCTACTGTGTACTAGAGGCATTCTTTTAGTCATCGGAGTTGAGTTTTTCAATTTTTCCCTTAACTAGCATGTAGTCTAGAAAAGGAAATAAATGTATATCTATAGCAGATTCAGGAAGTGATATATTGCTTTTGATGATGGAGAAATATAATTTCTGTCTTGAATCACAGAAGACTTTATAGAAGAGGTGGTTCTTTCTCAAGATTGGAAATGATGGCATGTGCATCAGTGAATATATGCCTAATTCAGAATCAGGCATATAGTTTCATGCCTGATTCTGAATTATTAGTATGTGCTATTGCCTTATACATTAGTTCTAAACATATTTTAAGCAACTCTGCAGGAAAAAAAGAGAGATCTTAGTTACTTCAGCAACATGATATACTAAAATTGGAAATTAATGTACTCCCCAGCAGAGAGACTTTTGAGAACTCTGCTGGTTTATTGTCTACAATAGTGTGCCCATGAATTCACCTGGCACTTTAAACATTGAGGACAGGAGCCTGGATGCCACACAAAAGTTGGCACGTTTTTCTATTAAAAACGTATTAACAAACACTTAGCTTTTTAACACTAACACTGAAACAGTGAGTAACTGATAGACCACACAAAATAGCTCATAGTAGAATTAGTTAACTTGGGAATCTACTCCATTAATTTTTTTTCAAATTCCCTAAAATAATTTTTAACACAATTTAAACATAGTCCACATCTGGTTATACTAGACTAAATAACAGTGTGTTATAACTAGGTTCTGTATATGAAAATATATGCTTATAGTGATTATATTTCGAATTATAGTTCTCAATTCTATAAACCTATTGTATTGTATTATTGTCGTCCCTTTCTCCCTTTCTCACTTTTTCTTTTCTTTTTTTTGAAATAGGGAGCTTCTCTCTTGTTGATGCTGCAGACTTATCTTAGTGAAGATGTATTTCAACGTGCTATAATTCTTTATCTGCATAATCACAGCTATTCATCCATTCAAAGTGATGATCTGTGGGATAGTTTTAATGAGGTAAGAAACTCGGGTATTTTATTTAGCTTTTACAGTAAGAAGAGAGGAGTTCTTCTATTTATATTTTTATCAAGTACGTAATTAAGCTGTGGTACCAAAGATAGTTATACAAGAGAGGAAAATGGAGCTTAGAATATAAATATTTATGAATAGAGCACAGAAATAAAGGTCAAGAAATGCAAGTACTAGTCTTAACTGCTGAAAAATTGTGTGTAGCCTTGTGAATAAACCATTTTTCTCCTATACCTTAATCTCCATTTCTACTTTGTAGGGAAGTTTTGTTTTCTGAATCAGTGTATAATACTGTATTTTCACTATTTGATTTTTTTTCTTAAAACATCTTTTTCTGTTCTTATGCCTTTGCCGTTTTTCCACCTCCCATTCATGATTTTTTTTTCTATACTCTGGCCTATGAATCCTCCTGTCTTTTGGGGCCATGTTCCTCTAGAGAAGATTATATATTCACAAGCTGGCTACCATGGGCTCCATACTACCCTTCCATTGTTCTGCTGTTTTGATTTTGTTGTGCCTGCAAATATTCTAAAAAGCAGTGTAATTAGGTACAAGTTATGCTTCACAGCAGTGAATGAACCCAGCTTGTATTGTGCATGTAGGCTCACGGTATTACCCTCATGGGCATTTGAGTTTGTTACCCTGATCTAGATAAAGTTCTTAATGTTTAGATCACAGACATATTTGAAAATCTGATGAACGTTCTGGACATATTTTCCAGAAAAATTGCATATATGCACAATATCACACACAATTTCAAAGTTTATGGACCCTAGGTTAAGAATCCCACTCTGGGTCTTTTCCATACACAATTCTTGCTTCCTTGCTTTATCTGAAACCTGCTGTTTTCTAGTTGTTAACCCTTTGCCTAGAAGGTATACCTTACAGTCCTTATTACCTAAGAGTTGCTTGCAAGTTATTGTTTTTCCTTTTATCATGCAATAGCATTTCAATTGAAAGCCGCATTATTGCCTTTATACTCATTATATTATCTCCTCACATTTGGAATATGTTGCTCCCTTCCTCACTGACTTCAGCTTTTGCATCATGGTGTTTTTCTGTCCCAACCTGTTCCCTCACGTTACCCTTGGGTTTTTCAGCACCCACATCAAATTATGCCCTGACCTCTTCATTTCAGTTCTGTTTCAAAGACACAAAAGTACCTTGTTTGGGGAAAGGTTTGTTTTCTTCTCAATCCCTTGTCCAGAAATAAATAGATCCGAGCCATGAGAAATGTGAGATTAATATCACAGAGAATTTAGGAAGATTCCAAATTCTCCATCCTTTTCTGCTTTAAATATATAGAGTTATGGCGATTGAGGTAAGGCCCACCATAGTGCAGTGATATTACTAAACATTTTAAGTACTCAATGATTTTAGTTGCTTGAAATTCAAATCCTTTGTAATCTAGAAAACTAATTTGAGTCATAAGCTGATATCAGTTGATATCATATCTGCTGCTTTTTTAACATATAGTGCCTCTCGCACTCTCTTTGGTTATCACTTAGTTATGTTCCAGTTATCGCTTAAAGTACTAGTTATCACTTAGTACTTTCCTCTTAGCTCATTTACCTAGATTAGAAATGTAAATTCAGCTCAACATTCATACTTTTTTTATATTAATATTAAATGTAGCCTTCATAGAATGTTGTGAGGAAAGGTACAGACAAACTGTAAAGTTTATAAACTTTATCTTTAAGGAAAAATAATTTATTCTTTTATTGATAGGTCACAAACAGAACCCTAGATGTAAAGAAAATGATGAAAACCTGGACCCTGCAGAAAGGGTTTCCTTTAGTGACTGTTCACAGAAAAGGAAAGGAACTTCTTGTCCAACAAGAAAGATTCTTTTTAAATATGAAGCCTGAAATTCAGCCTTCGGATGCAAGGTACGTGCCTTCTTTCCCTCCGTGTCATCTCTTTCATACTCTCAATTTAAAGAATTGATAAATGTTTTATAATCTTAGGTTCTTATGGAACCTAACAAGATTATCCCTTTCTAGGAATATCTTGAAAATTTTCACCTTCCTGCCAAAACAACAACAACAACACAACAACAATAAATTATGTGTAACTGACTGACTAAAATTTGGAAAGAGTAGTAATCTTTCAATATTTTCTTTTTACAGCTATCTGTGGCATATTCCACTGTCCTATGTCACTGAGGGAAGAAATTATTCAAAATATTCATCAGTGTTATTACTGGACAAGAAATCAGGTTTGACTATAATTAATACTTTTCTGATTAGAAATTGGAAACAGCTTATTTTAAAACGTCTGACCAAGCATCAGAAGAAGTTTATTCTTTCCAGTGTGCATACTCTCTGGGCTGGTTTTCTGAGTCACCAATGTATGATGTGACTAAAGTGAGATTAAGTCTATGTATCATGCATAAAATTGGTCTTTCTTAGTCATGTAATATAAGTATAAAAAGCTGCACTGAATGTGCTAGCAGTCCTATATTTTTATATCCTAGATAAATATTTTATGTTACAAAGTAAGAAGTAGAGCAGTTTCTTAAAGTATGCTCTGCTCTCTGCTTCTAGGGGTGGACTGGGGCAATGGCATTTTAACAAGCACCCTAGATGATTCTAATACATAATCTAGGCCTCTTGATTCATGTCCTAGATCCATAGTAAATAATTATTACAAAATGTCCATAGCCATAGTATATATTGTTTTAGTAATGATAAAATGGGGCAAGAAATTATAATTGCGAGGAGGGGGATAACAAAATGTAAAGATTGTATATGCTGACCCACAGGAATCTGTAAAACACAAATGAAATGTAGTTTTGACCATCTGTTAAATTCCTCTATGAATGCGATACTATGTAGCCTCTTAATTTACATCCTGAAAGAACATAAGATTCTTGGGTTCTGTAGGAACCATTAGTGGTACTTTAGATTTATAGAAAGGGAAAATTTCTTGTTTGAATTTGCATCTAGTGATCAATCCTATATTTTTGAGAGGGTAGTGTAGCTTAGTGGTTAAGGGACCAGACTCAAGCCAGAGTGCCTGATTGAGTTGTATTATTTTAGGTGAGTTATATGACCTCTCTGAGTTTCATTCCCTTATAGCGTTATGATGAGGATTAATTGAGTTCATTTATATGAAACACCTAGAACGACTTACATATATTGTGTGCTATATAAGTGTTAGCTATTGTTATTACTGTTATTAATGAAAAAATCTTTAAATATATCTACATTACATAAAATCTAGAAAATGGAGAACAAATCTTATCACCCTGTCGTAACTACACTCATGATTATTTCTTTCTAGTCATTTTTAAAAATATTTTTTACTTAGATGATATCATTATGTACATGTGATTTTGTATCTTGTTTTTTTAAAGGAACTTGATGTATACAGTAATTGACTTAATCTTTTCTTACTGTTGGACACTTAATTCGCCACTTGTATCTCTAAAAAAAAATGGGGGTCTTAAATGTTTTCTCATTATTTTAACTTTTTCAAAGGAATGCTTCTCAAAATGAAGACTGTGTTACAGTCTGTGATTTAATGCATGTTTCTAAATTGCTTTTTTGTTGTGTGGTAACAACATATAATGCCAACTGCAATATGTGGATACCAGTTGCATTATAGTTAACTAGAGTGGAATGTTACAACAACAATCTCATTATTTAAAACACTAAGAACAGTGATGATGACAATACATTTTTGATTAATATAGCATAGCTAGAGGTACAAGGAAGTGCTGTCTAACAAAAACAAAACTCCATACATCAAATGGGCCCTGAAAGGATAGTCTCTGACCTAAGAGAAAACAAATAATCTCATCTCCCTATTTGAAAGAGACCAATAAGGAAATTTTGCAAACCTCCCTAGGGTATGTAAGACTTGGCGATATTAGAAGTAATTGGACAATAAAAAAACTGCTTTTATTAGCCCTTTACTTTTTAGCTCAGCTTATATGTGAACTTCTTAAACTCTTTTTGAGATTCACACCCCAAAGTCTAGCTCATATTTTTCTGCTAAGCCTTTTCTAAGTCCTTACCTGGCACTCTATACCTCTGCTGCACAAAAATTTTCTTAGCAACTCAGAGATGCCATTCTTCATGTCTCTGGGCCTTTGCACATGCTGTTTTCTCTCCCAGAAAAACACTCTTGCTCCCCACTCCCTTGATTTACTCCTATTCATTTCTCAGATCTCAAGTCACCCATTGCTTGCTCTAGGAAGCCTTCTCTCACCCTAAGACAGGTTAGATGCCCTATTTATGTGCTTTAATAACATTCTCTACTTCTCTATTTTTAATATACTGTAAGTACTGTTTCATTTATATTGATTCCCATATTAGATATATCCCCTACTGAAGGTAGATATCACGGCTGTATGAATCCATTTTGCAACCTTAGCACCCAGTAGCACACAAAAAATTATTGCACGATGAATAAATTTTAGTCTATAAAGAAGTGACTCAATTTTAAATCTCAGTGTAAAAAGTTCTAGGAAAAGCATTCAAAGCCTGATGAAATGATATCTTCTGTTTTCTTTCATTTGAAAATATTTTTGGTAAACAAAAGTATACAAAATGCACTAAAATACAATTGGTTTAATCTAGAGCTGGAACTGAGCCAATGTATGATGAAAGCAGTGTCTGTTACTTCCTCTTTTCAACTGTGTTATTTACCTTGCTGCTGCTGCTGCTGTTTTCATTCCTGGCAGTTCAGGCTTTGAGAGTCTGCACTGAAAATGTTCTGTCCTCAACAAGAACTGTTTGACCCTAAGGACAGTTGGGTCATCTTGGTTCCTGATGCTCCAGTGAGAATCACTTTTATTTTAATTGCATTTTATTTTATTCCGTTCTCAAAAAGAGTATAGCAGAGGCTGTGACTACAGAGTCTTATTTTATGCCATATGACTTTAGTAGTGTGTTATCTTGGTGGTTTGTTAACTGTAGTATATTCCACATGTTCTAATGCCAGGGTTGCTGGGTTATTCCGTTAATTCAGTCAGATATAGGAGTTATATTTGGTTATTATCTTTGTCACTATTCCCCACATACGTGAATTTTGAACAATTAATACTTGTTGTGCAGAAGAAGGGCTGAAAGGGGCCATTTTTTCAAGCTACATATTGAGGAAATTGTGTTAAAAAAGCAAGTGTCTCCCCCTCCCTTTTCTACCTTTCTTTCTCCCCATTTCCTCCCTCCCTCCTCTTCCCCGACCCCCGCCTCTTATCCACATCTTACTCAGACCTAAGCTCTTTATAAGAATTTTCATATTAAATCCAACTTGAGACATTAATGTTTCTGAAGGATATATCTGAAACTAAAAGACATGTCATTAGAGCGAAAGGCAATTGGAAAACAGGACAAGCATATAGTTAAGATATTTACCATGTGCTGTTCTCTGCTCTTGCCTTCTTTACCCCACCCCCAACAAAATAAAGGTGAAGAAATGGGGTATTGCAGAAAGGAATGCTTTTGAACAAGAGGGAATGCAGTTCAACTGCATGTCTCATGCTAGCTCTCTGGAGCAAACTACGCACAATCGTTTCTCAGCCTTTTGGCGAAGCTCAAGTGTGGAGCAAACTACACAGAAAATTTTGCAACTTTGTAGTAGAAACATGGTTTTTTTCTATGCTTTAATGTTTCTTTATAAAACAGTAGTCGATCTTCATAACTCATTGACAAATGGCTTTTTAAAATCAATATTAGATTACTTCATCTGGGCTTCTGCCATTTAAGATTGGAGTTGCTCATTCTTTTTTACTAAATGGACTGTGAAAATTGAACTGTTAATCTGTTAATGATTATAATAAATTGGAAACATATGAAGGTGGCCTCATCCACATTTGAGCTGCAGAATGTAGTAAGCTCCCCTGTGAACAAAGCTATTATTTTTTGATACCTGTGGTTTTAAGGTTCTCCATTCTGGATCATTCAGAAGACCTGAAAGAGACTAACGTGTTGACTCTTTAAATGATAACTCTCCTCTATATGCTGTTGGCTGCAATGCTTTATATTCTGTCATCGAAATGACAGTAATAATTTCAAGTACATTCCCAGCTGCGTTCTTCCTCTCTACCATCTGGACTTGGCTAGGTTTACAACATGGCAAGTATCAAGGTTTATCAGCCAAGATACTCTGTATTTCAATATTTTCCTGCATCTATCCAGTGGAAAAATTGTCATACTTATCATTCTTTGCCTCCTTTTATGGGGAAGGGAGAATTTGAGCTATTTAGTCCCTCTTCCCAATGTCCTTTCGTAATAAAAGCTCCTTAGGAAATTGTGTTTGGTGACCTGGAGAGTGGTGATTCTTTTGCATGAGCTAATGATAGTTAATTTCCTTAGTCACAGGTTTGTTGAAAATGTCTCCAACTTGGAGCAACTACTGTTGCCATCACAATTATTCCTTAGAACTTTGCTCTAGAGAAAGGTATAAACTATATTCATGTAATTGATCTTTCCCATCTGTTTCTAAGTCAGCAAAAAACGGAAATTAGTATTGGATTTTTTTAATGAAAACAACATTATCTGATATGTCATGTTAAGACATCAGAATGTCTTTTCCATCTTAAAAATCTTTTACAGTTTCAGTAGAATTGGAGTAAATAAGGTTATTAAGAGAATCTGATAAATTTTAATAATTAATGCTTTTGAAGTTTATAGACCCTAAGACTACAGGTTTAAATGTGTTTCTAAAACATATGTGCAAAAGCCTTCATACAGAATTATTATTATGAGAGTGAAAATTTAAAACAGCCTAAATGTTTTCAAATAGGAGTTTGGTTAAATTGTTGTAGGTCATGAAATAAAATATTATGAAGATATATGAACACTGCATATAAAGACAATGGAAAAATGGTGGGGGTAGTATCTCAGAGGTAAAAAGGCAGTATTAAAATGAATGCATATAGATCCACTGTATGGAATATTACATTGATTAAAATGTATAGGAAAAATCTTGGGAAATACACCCCACAATGTACGCTATCATTGTCCTGAGTTTAGATTTTTTTCTTATCTCTACTCCTCTTTCTCTTATAATTTTAAGAATTGGTATTCTTTATTTTAAAATGGGGAACCAAACTTCATAAACATTTATAAATCTTATTTAGATTTGCTTCAAAACCATTTATAGTAGTTGTTTTGTTCATTCTTTAATTCCTGAAGGTTTTTTTTGAGTACCTACTAGGAACATTGTGCTAAGGGATTAACATTTAACAAAATAGTAAGCTCATGGAGTTTATATCCAAATAAATAGTAAACACTAAGAAGCTTAGAAGCATACACTTAACTATTATATTCACATTTTTGTTGCCAACTTTAAAGAATGCTTATTGATTAGTAGTTTAAAGGATTTTAAAAATTCCTACATATATTTCATAGTCAGCTTTTGTAGTAATATAGTTTTTGTAGTCATATATCTTGTAGCTCCTTATTAATTGTACATTAATTGAAATCATTCCATATAAATTTCTAAGAATTCTCTCAGCATTTATATATGTAATGGTAGGGCCCAAAACAGTACATATCGTTTTTCTATTATTTTAACTGAATTATTTCTTATTTGTGCCAAATGGGAATTTAATTCTACTCTGATGTTTATTTTGCTAGCTTTTTGTTATGTGACTTTTCTAAGTGGTCTTGTTCTTCCTTTGCTAACATAATGAAATCCAAAAGCTGAGTGGAATACAATTTATGGAGTTCTGTCACGATCTTCCTTTCCTGCCTCACCCGACACGTTTTCCCTTTCTCCCCGTTTCTCTCCACTAGCCACAATGAAATTGGGAGCCAGTTCAGTGCATGGACGCTTTCTCTTTGGGCCTTGAACATTTAGGGTCCCTCTTCACCTGACTAAGACCTATATATACCTTGAAGTTTCAACTTGGGTTAAGACCTCTTAACCTCCCCTAGTGGGTGAAGCAGTTCTTATATGTGCTTCCATAGAATATCATATTTCTTTTTCAATAAATAACATTTATATGATATTCTTCTTGCCTGGTTACATTAGACTTTAAGACCTCTGAGAGAAGGGAAATATCTACCTTGTTCACCAATAAATAGATAGATAGATAGATAGATAGATAGATAGATAGATAGATAGATAGATAGATAGTTAGTGGTCTTTGTTAAAATGAAAATAACTGCTGAAAGATAGAGATTTAGTTTCATAGTAGAATAATTAAATATAAAAATAAACCATATTAACTTTGAAACAAAGCATCATTTAATATTTTTTCTTGCCCTATTATCTCTCCTGTCTCTCTCCCACCTCTGGTTCTCCCCGCACTCCCCCCCACCTCGCCCCCACTCTCCCTCTCCCTCTCCCTCTTTCTCATTTTTTGATCTGTATCAGATGTCATCAATCTTACAGAAGAAGTGCAGTGGATCAAAGTCAATACAAACATGACTGGCTATTATATTGTACACTATGCGGATGATGATTGGGAAGCACTAATCAAACAGTTGAAAATCAATCCTTATGTCTTGAGTGACAGAGACCGAGCCAACCTCATCAACAACATCTTTGAACTTGCAGGGTAGAGTATGCTTGGTTTGGGGTGCTTTTAAAATAAAAAAAAAGTGGTATTGAGGAAAACATTTTAGAAAACCAGTTTAAAAGAACTAGCATATATTGCCTGTTAGGTATGATTTATTTTTGAGGATTGGGAAAATGTAAGACATATTCCTGGCCTTCAGGGCTTTATAATCTATATGGAAATATCAGCTACAAACATTGAACAGTTAAATAACAAGGTTTAAATAATATTTCAAGATTGTACATGCCAAAAATCAAGACACGGTTGCTGAGTAAATTGATGGAGTTCAGGCTTTGTTTTATTTCTTGAGACAGTTCTTTCCCAGCAGCATTTAGTTTAAGCATGATGCACAGTACTTACTCACTGGTTTGAGGGGCATCTGTGATAGGTGGAGCCTCATTTGGGTACTACTTACCTCCCTAACAGCCCTGTGCATTACAGAATTCCACTGCCAAAATGGCAATGACTTGTTATAGATATCTTCTGAATAGGAAGATTACCAGTGTAGGTTGTTAATGGGTCGAGAGACACAAGGAACATTTAAAAGGGTTCCTTCTGACTGTTCTTGACCTTCTTATTTTGCTTCATTTTTTATGAAGTGACCTTATATCATCTCAGCCATCATTGTTATGATTTCTATAAAATGATTAATTTTTAAAATGTACTCACCATAAATTTACAGTGGGCCTCGCCTTAAGTTTGACAAATTCCCATACAAAGAACTAAATTTCTTTCTGATTCAGATCTTCTTTATGCCACCTGTTCTCACTTGATAATTATAAGTAATTAAAAATAAATAAAATTAGTACTCTTCATTTTTTCTCACCTAAGACATTGTAATACTTTTCCTAATTCAGTAGCAATTTATAAGTGACTTATGGAGTAAAAGCAGAGCTATTGTTTGTCTTTCTTTTGAAATGTGTCTTTAACCTTGGGGCACACATATGAACTTAATCAAAGATAATAATATTTAGTCTAACTTTACAGAATGACACTCTAAGCTTAAATTTTAGTCTTCAAGACTTACCACCTGGCCATAAAATTTCTCTCTCAGCATGCATAGAGTTCATCTGCCTTTCTCGGCATATTTACTTTTACTGTTCTTTTAACACTTTAGCCTAGGCAAAGTGCCTCTTCAGAGAGCCTTTGATTTAATTGGTTACCTTGGAAATGAGACCTATACTGCACCCATCACTGAAGCCCTGTTCCAGACAAGCCTCATCTTCAACCTTCTTGACAAACTGGGATACATGGATCTGGCCTCAAGACTAGTGGTAAGTCTGCCATTTACCAGCTTCTCTTTGTTGCTTGCCTTTAATAGTGTTACTAATAATTTCATTCAACAGTAGTAGCCTGTAAAAGCAACTAGTTAAATTCTGTTTTCTTCACTTTCCTAGTTGTGAAATCTTTGAGTCAAAATGTCATTGCTTACCATGGAAAGTTGATAAAGGCTCAGGATGATGTGGTCTTGTTTGGTTATCAAAATATAGACTTCTAATACTGCTGTCACATGAAAAGAAAATCTCTCAATTCAAATCGTGATTTTCTTTTTATATCATAAATGCTTGAAGTAGGCCTTTTTTGTGAAGTAGTGCTCCCCATTGACTTCATAGTGGTTAATATAAAGTGTTAATATATGTATGTTCATATTGAGAATATTGTTTTAGAAGGCCTTTCGCCTGTCTTATAGATGATGATTGGTGGATATAAGTTTCTCTGCAAAGCAGTAAAGGAGTCTTGGTATTTGGAGACTGTCTTACTTTTTTAAAAAACAGTTGCCTGATCTTAACAGTTGTTATTTTAGACACTTTCAGTATTAAACTGTCAACCAAGTCTTTAAAAGCTTAAGAGAAAGTGATGAATTCTTTGTTTTATCCAATTCTCTGAATCAGCACATTCCGACAATAGGGGTTTGCTTTATAAACTAGTCACGTTTTCCAGGGCCCAGGGAAAAGGCATCTTTCAGGAAAAGGAAGAAACTATCGGACCAGGAATTAGAATAAGTCTTTTAGAGTTTTGGTATCCTCACTGGTAAAAGGAAGGGTTTGGATTATATCTTTAAAAAAAAAAAAAAAAATCTCCTTTCTGCCTCTCTTACTGTCCTACTTTGCTTCTCCTCTGATGAATTCTTTCATCACATGCATGATTGTCAGTGGGGGAAGGGAACGCAGAGCAGATCAGTCAGATAGAGCTTGGAAAGCACCTTTCCTCACAAGTTTCTGATCTGACCCCAAAGGAACCACCCCTGTTCCTACCCATAAGTGAGATGCTTAAGTTAGATGATTTCTGAAGTCTCTTCTAGTTGATAGATTTTTGTCATTCTTCTATTTTACAAGGCTTTTTATTCCCAGCCTTAATAAAAACCAGTGCCTGGAATGTGACCCAGCCCATAGTGACATTCAGTGAATGTTAAATGACTAAAATGAGTGAAACACACCAGAAACAAGTACATTTCAGTGCTTACTATATTCTGTACACCGTGCTTGGTACACCGTGCTTGATACTTGATGTAGAGTGCCTCATTAAATATTTACACAGTATTAAATAGATACTTCTACCCTCATTAGATAAATGAGGAGACTAAATAACTTCCCCAAAGTCACTTACCTAAACTAATAAATTAAAATGCTGAGATTAAAACCCAGATCAGTTTCACTCCAAAAGCCTATTCTTTGTATGTTGCTATATTTTAAATTAATTTGTATTCTAGCAATGTTGTCTTTCCAAAGATACCTTTTTGTTGGAAAAATCAGTTGTTTCTTTCTTGCTATTTTTTTTTGTTTGTTTTTTAAACTAAGATTTTAAAATCAAACAGTTTGAAAAGCTTGTTAACCGTGTGTTTAAGGTTTAAGATGACAGACCCATATCTAGTTGCTTTGCCAAAAATGAAGTTTTCCACTTACTGTTTGAGATTTCTTTTATATCTAAAATGTTACTAACAGTAATTTTTATAGTATTTATATACATTTCCAAGAAGTATGCAAATGACATATTGGTCTCTCTCTCTCTCTCTCTTTTTTTTTGGTACAGCATCTTTTTATTTTTCTTACCATTGCTTTCATGCACTTTAAAATTTACCTACATTCATTGGGAACAAAGAAACAAAACTTATTGGTCTCTTTAGAGAAAACTTAGAATACAACACAGACTTGCTACTGTTAGTATATTAAAGTGAAGGCCGTTTGTTAACCAGTTCAGCTACTATAAATGGACATTTGGGTTGTTTTCAGTTTGGAGCTGTTACAAATAGTGTTGCTGAGTATTCTTATACATGTCTTTGGTTAATATTTACATGCATTTCTTTGAGGTATGTGTCTGGAAGTGGAACTGCTGAGTCATAACATATGTATGCTTAATACTGTACTACCAAATTGTTTTTCAAAGTTATACCAATTTAATGCTCCATCAGCAGTGTATGAGAATTCAAGTTCTATTCTGGCTCTATATAGCCTTGCCAACAGTTAATATTAATAGTAAATCTTTTTCCTTTTAACCCTTCAGATGGGTGCCTAGTGGTATTGCAATTTTAGCTTTAATTTGCATTTCCATAATGACTAGGGAAGATTAGTTCTTTTTGATTTTTATTGACCATTGGATGTTCTCTTTTGGGAAGTACCCAGGTCTCTCATTTGTTTTTCTATGGGATTATTTGTGTTGTTCTTATTGACTTATAAGAGTTCTTTATATTCTATTTATGAGTCCTTTGTTGTGCATGTGTATTTTCAAATATCTTCTTCCCCTCTGGCTTACTTTTTCACTCTTTTAATGACATTCTTTGATTAGTGTAAAGTTTTGATTTTAATGTGTGAAATCTGCCTAACCCAAGATATTCTCCTGTGTTCTCTTCTGAAAACTTTATTATTTTACCTTTTATATTTAGATCTATGCTCCATCTGGAAATGATTTTATATACGGTGCAAAGTAGACATAAAGATTAATATTTATTCAATATGGATATTAGTTGATCCAGTACTAATGTGCTTCATTGTATACATATATTTTTTTATTACAGAATTGCTATAATTATTTTGGGGTTATTAGGGCCATGCCAGATCAACACCATTTGGGGTAGTATATTAGTTACCTAGAGCCACCATAATAAATTATTACAAATTTGGTGTCTTAAAACAACAGAAATTTATTCTCTCACAGTTCTGGAAGCCTTAAATCAAGGCGTTGGCAGGGTAGGGTTGGTTTCTTCTAAGAGAGAATCTGTTCAATGCATCTCTCAGCTTCAGAGGGTTGCCAGCAATCCTTCGCATGCCTTAGTCTGTGGATTGCATCACTATCTCCATTGGCATTCTACCTGTGTTTCCTTGCCAAATTTTCTTATAAGGGCACCAGTCGTTGGATTTGGGCCCGCCGTAATCCAGTATGACCTCATCTTAACTTGATTACATCTGCAAAAATCCTGTTCCCAAATATGGTCACATTCATAGGTTCCAGGCAGATATGAGTTTTGGGGAGACACTATTCAACACAGTATATGTAGCAGTAAATAACATCAGTACATATCACTCACTTCCTTTCACTATTAAAGGACAGTGTTGGAACTGAATGTACCCTAAGAGGAAGCAGAATATCTGTCTACTCTGAAGCTACGCAACTAGTTGAATTCCATGATGGCAGAAGCCACTCTTCCTCCTGCTTCTCTACATTAACTCTGTTGAGGCCCAGTGTCAGGAAGCACTTGACACCTCAAACCATTCCCATGCTGAGAATATATATACTAAACTCAATTCAAGGAGTTAAACCTTTTGTATATTTTCCTGCCGTAACATTCAAGTGACTACGCATCTTCATTCCAGATGATGATTTCGAGTTATCTGGCAGATGTGTGTTTATTCAGAACATGCTTCCAGGTGGAGTCCAGGGGACTGATGATTAGAGAGCAAGGGCTGGGGGCTTAGTGTGCATGTGGAAGACCATGGCCCTTTTACTGCAATGGATCTTCATTCATACACTCATTGTTAGTTAAAAGTCAGATTAGCTTCAGTTTGTCAGGAGGGAGATTTTTTTTTTTAATTCTTATTCTAATCTTACAGCATTCTGATAGCATCAAAACTCATGATATGAAATCTGACCCACTATAGTCAGAGATTGGAATGGCCAACATTTCTGAGTCCTTAGATCCAATCTTCAAATAGTATTTGTGATTAAGACTGGTGTCTTAATTCATTATGTCATTGTCACCAGAGCAGTGTGTATATTTATTGGTCATTTTGTTTGGTAGGCCGTACATACCTACATAACGTATATTCATGTGTCACATTTTGTAATGTTTACAGTGATGTTTCTGTGGGTAGGGTCTGGAGGCACATTTGAATTGTGTCAAATCGTTCACATCTGATGTTAACATCTGATCCCAACCACATTCCTATTTCATCACTTATAAGCCTGTCATTCTTTTACATATGCAGGATTGGTGGGATAAACCTTTTGCAATAAAAGCTGACACTTCACTTTTAAGAAGCTCAGTTGACCCAAGAAAGAACTCCCTGGGCATATCAGTATAAAATTAAAGCAGTAAATCAAAATGTAATATATAACATAAGTGCCAGCATCTATCCCTGTTTTTTTTTTTAAGTCATTTTGTTATTGTTGTTGCATTTTATTTGTATTGCATATCCAATGTTCGTAGCTAGTATAACCCACCAATTCATTTTCTCTCCCACTTGTTTTTTTCACTTTATGAAATCCTTTGATTTCATAAAGTGAAATCCAATCCAGAGGATTATATTCTATTGTTTAGTGAGTTTAAATTTCACAAAATTAATTGAGAACCATGTAAAAATAGGTTTAATTTTATTTCTAAAAATAGGTTTAATTTTATTTCTAAAAGCGCTTGCTATGGTTTATTAATATTAAAAATATAACCTGGATTACTTATAAAAATGATATTTTATAATAGCAGGGATTTTCTAAATAGAATTATTATTTTTTAAATAAAATATTTTACTCTATTATGTTATCATTTGAAATATATTTAAAGCTAACTATTTGGGGAATTCCTCTTGACTGTTTGGTACAGGGAATAACTAGTAAGATTGCACCTGTAATTCCAATGGGCTAACTGCTCAGGAATTAGCCTTAGCATTTTCATGTGTCAGGTTATCCTTGCTTCCAGTACTTTCAAGTGCCATTTTTCATACTGGCTTCTTTATGTTTCAGTAAACTGTCAAGGAGCATTGCCATTTTTCTCCACTGAGTTTTTTAAAATAATATTTTAAGCATGTAACTTTTTTCCTCATTCTTCTTTTGTTTCTATTTGACAGTTATAAGTAGCTTTTAAATTTCTTTTATTTTTCTCACATTTGGGATGGTTTGCAATTGTGATGCCATTGAGAAGGTCAGGCCAGTAGAAGACAGCATGTACCAGTGCAGTCATGTGTATCCAGTAGGATCTCCTGCATTGCTGTTATGTTGCTTGCATTACCAGCCAACATGGCAAGTGTTTTTCCACTTCATGTCCTCCATGTGACTCACACATTCCACAAGGTGTATGTTCTCTATTCCTTTTGAAGCAAACAAACAAAAGTGAGTTGACATGTCATCACAAACTTCGAGTCTTTCTCCTTGTACAGATTCTTTTTTCTCTCCGTGTCATCAGCTTCACAAGAGCTTTATTCAGAGAAGATCTTCTGAGAAAATGGCCTCAGCATTTTAAAACTCTCCAACTAGGAATCATTTTAGGTATTAACAGTGGTATTCTCAAAGAATATAAGAACTTGAGCTAATTTTCTGGGGTCGAGTGTTTTTGTATGTGGTCATCTATGGGACTTGACTACTTGAGATGAGACATGATAAGGGTGGTGGTGTTAAAGAAACAGTGGGAAGACATACCCTGTGCCGAGAACCCTGTGGGCGGGGTATGCCTGTAGATATTTTTCATTTTGCTTCACCTTATTTATAGCCATGAAGGTTTTCTAAAATATACATGTAAGCATTTTTATATTTGAATTTTTGTTCCTTTTAGTGGCATATTTTATGCGATAATTTTTTAAAATCCCACATGTTCTCACCCTTCCCTGTATACCATAGCTTGAAATATAGAAATACTTCCATTTTGCTATGAACAGCTTCTGCGCTTTTGTGTTGGGGAGATATGAAAAGGAAATGAGATTTGTTGATTTCTTAATACCATAAGTATACATTTAAGAATGACATCTTATTCAGAAGTGACTATAACAATGGACTGTATAGCATATGATTTTACTGAATAACTATTAATTTCCTTAAGTGTGATAAGGTATTGTGATTATGTAGGAGAATGTCCTTATTTCTGGGAGTTGGATGCTAAAGTATACATAGATGAAATATCATGATATCTGTAACTTACTTTCATATGGTTCACTTAAAACCAGAGAAACAAATGTGTATGTATGCGTGTTATATATACATAGAAACGAAGCAGTTGAAAAAAAAAACACAGTGATTCTAGCATATGCGTGTTCATTGGGCTACTCTTATAGCTTTTCTGTAGGTTCAAAACATTTTTAAATAAAAAGTTGGGTTGTGGGATAACTATAAATAACTATGCTTTCCTGCAGTCCTCATTTTCTTGGTAATTTGATTACATTAATTTGTTGCAGCATCAAACTAGTTATTTAAAATATTTTTGAAAATATTGGATTCAGAAACATTTAAGCATCTTCCCATGAGTAAAGAAATATATTTTTTTCTCATTGCTTTATAGATTTATGGATTCTAAAGTCACGAGGTCAGAAAGTTCCAACCTACTTCTAGCAATGGTTTTAAGTGACTTTTTGGCAGGAAAATAACTTCTACCTGAGTACACACAGAAGAAAGGTTCCCTACTGCACAGAAGTCATTAATTCTTTCTGTGATATGTCATGTAAAGTCCCCTTTGGCTATAGCAGCCTTACATATAGCCTTTGTTATTGAATGGTCTCATCTCAGCTGTATGTGGGCAGTTGATTTTAATGATGTCTACCCCTCCCCTTTTTTTTTCTCTCTTCGGGTAAACGTTGGGAAAAAGAGATCTACTTGTCCTTTTTCTGGTTGTCCTATTCCCTTGTAATCCATTTTGTCTCTCTAGGCCAGGATATTTAAATTGCTTCAAAGCCAAATTCAACAGCAAACTTGGACTGATGAGGGCACCCCATCTACTCGAGAGCTACGGTCAGTCCTGCTAGAATTTGCTTGCACCCACAGCCTAGATAACTGCAGCACTACTGCCATGAAGCTGTTTGATGATTGGGTGGCATCCAATGGAACTCTAAGGTGACGTGTGCTTCTACTCAAATGATCTCTCTCTTCTTTACCTCATATCGTATACTGAAACCAGGATCTTCTGATCTTGGGTCATAAATGTTATAAAACTAGGTGTTAATATAGGTGAACTCTATGAACTTGTCAAATAAAACTGTTTTTTTTTCAATTGTGGTAAAATACATATAACATAAAATTTACTATCTTAACAATTTTTAAGTATACAGTTTAGTAGTGTCAATATATTCACATTGTTGTGCAACAAATCTCCAGAACTTTTTTATCTTGCAAAACTGAATTTTTTACCCAAACAACTCCCCACTTTTCCCTCCCCCCTAGCCCTGGTCTACTTTCTATTTTATGAGTTTTATTGCTCTAAAGACCTCATGTAAGTGAAGCCATACAGTATTTGTCTTTTCATAAGTGGCTTATTTCACTTAACATAATATGATTATGGTTCAAGTATATGATCAAGGTTCACCCATGTTGTAGCATGTGGCAGAATTTTCTTCCTTTTTAAGGCTGAATAATCCATTATACAAATGTATATACCACATTTCCTTATCTATTCATCCATTGATGGACATTTGGGTTGTTTCAACCTTTTAGTTCTTACAAATAATGCTACCATGAACATGGCTGTACAGATATCTCTTCAAAACCCTGATTTCAGTTCTTTCAGATATGTAACTGGAAGTGGAATTGCTAGATCACATGGTAGTTCTGTTTTTAATTTTTCGAAAAACCTCCATATTGTTTCCCATAGTGGTTCTACCATTTTACATTCTCACCAATAGTGCACAAGGTTTCCAGTTTCTCTACATTCTCACCAATACTTGTTGTTTTCTGATTTTTTTTTTAATAGCAGCCATCTTAATGAGTGTGAGGTGTCAAAAAAGTCTCTTTTAATTTATTTAGGAATAAAACATAACAGGTGGAGTTAGCAATTAGAAATTTTTGGTTCTCTTCAAGTTCCTCATTGGGCGTTATGGAAAACAATTCAAGCATCAGATAAAGAGTTGGGATTTGGGGCAGGGGTTGGGATAATCTTATTGAGGTTCCTTTCAGCTTTGAGATCTTAATGAAGGCAGAAAACCATGCTTCTTCACCTCTTCTCATCCATCTCCTCATATTTCTACGATGGAACTCACCACACTGTGTTGTAATACACATATTTATTGTTCTGTACCGTGTCATAGCCCGCATGTTCCTAAAGGGCAGAGACCATGTCTCACTCTCCCTCTCTGCAGCATCCAGCCAGTTGCCTGCCTGGTTCTTTATGGATGCTCAGCAAATAATTATTGTGTCAAATTGAATTTATATTCCTTATAGTCCCACCACGAGGAAAGTAGCAGCCACTAAATTAACCATTTTCTTAACTATTAGTTGTACAGTAAAGACTCTTCTAATTGTTACCTGCTCTGACCCCCAAAATACCGCCATTAGTCAACTTCTTGCCTATGTACTCAGGATTTTTTCTTGTTCTTCTCATATTTGACCGCCTCTCTTACAGCCTACCTACTGATATCATGACTACTGTGTTCAAAGTGGGAGCAAAAACTGAAAAAGGCTGGTCATTCCTCTTAAGCAAGTACATCTCGATAGGCTCTGAAGCAGAGAAGAATAAAATACTTGAAGCTCTTGCCAGCTCAGAGGATGTATGGAAACTTTACTGGTATGAAACCACCCAAGGAATATGATACATAGAAACCAAAAGCATAAAAGCATTGTGCTCTCTGGGATCTCCCTTTTCTTCTCTTTACTCACAGCCCAGACCTGACGGGGACAGTGTGGTGAGGAGCTCGCGTGTGCTGGGCTTCACACATGTGAAGACTGGACATATAGGCAAGAGATGTTTTGCCCAAAAGAGATTGGGAGACGCCAGGAATCGCAGCCCCCTTCTAACTTTCTTCTTAAACACTTCTTTATCGCCTTAGCATGCTGTCTTTAATTCCATAGTTAGTCCTTCTTTCTTTTTAATCAAGGCGTTATTCTCTCCAAGCTGTCATTTTGAAAATGCAAACACTTCAGATAAAGGTAGCATGTAAAAGCTTATAGGCTCACCTTCATGTGAATCCGTCAGCCCTTTTTTAATATTCAGCTGATGAAGACCTGGAAATGAGAGTTACACATGGGGAAAGAAGGGCAGTCAGTGAGTAGGGCCTCCTGACAGGAAGAACAGTCAGTGGCAAGGTAGAGGAGCTCTGAGGAGCCAAGGGAAATATATAGGTATCTTAAAAGTCAACACCAGGAAGGACTTAGGTCTCATTGCTTCTCTTGTTTAATTTTGCTCAGATAAAGTTTAATAGTGTCCCGGACATGACCTCAGCACCTGCCCAGACCCACTTTCCAAAGGATATACTGTAAATAATCATGTTCTCTAAAGTAGTAGCCCGCCTCTGACCCAAGCAAATAAAGCTTTTGTTTTTAAACTAGTAATGATTTTGTTTTAAACTAGCAATACACTACAAATTCCCATTAGAAAGTATTTAAACAAAACTTAAGGAAATGGAATATTGTGAAAGTATCTCTCATATGCTTCTTTACTCCCATTCTTACTCCCTCTGTTAACACCGTCAGTCCTGGATGGTGTATTTATATACATCGACCTAAGTTTATACTATATCCAGTGTTTTGTGAAGGTCCTTTTGGTGAATGATCAGTCTCTGAGATTTGCCATATCAGCTCATAAGGCCTACTTCATTGGTTTTTCAGACTGCCTAGTATTCCGTAGTATGGCTTTAACCTGTCATTTATTCGATCCATCACATTTGATGGGTGCTTGGGTTTTTCTTCCTATTAAAAATACTGCTGCATTCTTTTTGGGGTATGTGTTTTCTCACTATACATAGATTTTATAACATAGTAAGTGAGAGCTGCTTATGTTCAAATGCTAGGCTTTAGTATTTACTAGCTGTGTAACTGGGACAATTATGTAATCTCAATTAACCTATGAAATGGGGACGGGTAATAGTTATCTATTTTAAGCTTTGTTGTATCTAGGATTTAGAACATTATTATGTATGAAGTATCAATAAATATTAAGTATTAATATCAAGTGTAATCTGAAATGTATCTTCATTTTCACATTCAAACAGCCCGTTTTTTAAGAGTAATAATATACCTGCCTACTCAAATCAAGTACAGTTTTTAACTGAAAAAATACTTCTTCAGAATTATAATAAATTCTACCAGAATTTATTTCTCAAATGCCCTTACTACCTCAAGAACTATTTATTATTATGTGACAGTATATTTAAGTGCTTATCTCATTGGTGAGTTATTTCTCCATTTTAAAAAATGACAAGCTTTCAATCAATTGATCAATCTTAGAGTAACGCGAACCTTATACACCTTGACTTGCTGCAGAGCTAGGAGACCAGTGCTAATTTAAGTTTAGTCATCACTTTATCATGAACAATTATTTCGGAAGCTAAATCTGCTTTGCTCTTCAGGTTAATGAAAACTAGCCTCAACGGAGACATCATCCGGACACAAAAGCTGTCGTTTATCATTAGGACAGTGGGCCGACGTTTTCCTGGACACTTATTGGCGTGGGATTTTGTCAAAGAGAACTGGAATAAGCTTGTACAGAAGTAAGTTTCTCCGAGATTTTCTGGCTTTTAGTGTTTTCAGGCTCTGCATTTGAAAAATGTTCCCAGCGTTGTCGTGGTTTATGGGAGTTATGATTTGCTATGAGAGGAAAAATGCTTCAGTGACAGTTTAACTGAAACACCCAGAAATTTTCACATTTGTAAACACAGTTCCATAATGCGAGTCAAGTAACAGTGGCGTTCCACGTGAATATTAATCAAGCCCAACCATGTTGACACCAGGTCGCTTAGCTGAGCATGGCCACAGACTGTTTCAGAATAGCGGTCTAGTATGTGTGTTGAAAAATGCCTCTTCATTGCCAAGGGATCAGTGAAAGGATTCACACCCAGCTAGATAGCACATGTAGGTTTTTTTCTTTTAAAGTAATACTGACATTTCTGGATGTTTGATATGATTTTTGAATAGATCAAATGGATTAACAGTTTCTCTGGTTATCCCTAACTCCTGCCTTTTCCTGCCCACCTTTCGTTCCCACTGGCGGTAAATGTGTCTAGGACGACTCCCGACGTACCGAGCTGTGGTTCCCAGCAGCAGGGCTCTGCTCTGCCTTTGGCATGTGTAGCTTATAGTAAAGCATTGCCTTTGCACTCAGAAACGTGGCTTACCAACAGCTGCCTCATTTTTTTTGCTCTTTATGCCCTTCTGTTTGTCTTTCTTCAGGTTCCATCTGGGGTCCTATACCGTACAAAGTATTGTTGCGGGATCAACTCACCTGTTTTCAACGAAGGCTCATTTGTCTGAGGTTGGTTGTATAAAATGCTAGTAGGGAGACTAGGTAACCCTCTCCCCTTAGGCTGCTCAGTTAGTCACATGGTGGCTTCTCATGCCAATTCCTGTCCTCCCTCTCCGTCTGCCTTCAAGAATGCTAAAGATTCTGCATTGGGATTACTTCTAAAGGGTAGATATACAGCAATGAGAAAAAAATCTGATGAAAAATTCTGATTCTATTCTCAATAATATTCCCTTGTCTCCCTGATATAAATAATTTTTTAATTAAGACCAATATATGCCAAGTTTCCTTTTAAGTGGTAATAAAATCGTTTTGAAGAATTGCCCAAAGGTGAAATTGGGCACCAAGCCTAACTTTAGACTGTACCTCGTTTGCTGTTACATGGCCATTTTATCTTTCTATTTTAAATTTGAAAAAGTCATCATTGTAGGAGTGAGGAGAATTAATTTTTAAAATCACTTCATATTTCACTGTACTTGATCAGTAACTTGATGTAAATACCTCGAATATTAAAGTACTTCTTGTCGCTGCTGCTTTTGGACATCATCGTAGCTGTCAATAAGTGAAAGTTTATTTGGAAAGGATAGTCAGAGTTACCTGAGATTTGCTGTTCTGTTCTTTTAAAATACTTCTTTGTGCAACTTACAGGTCCAGGCATTCTTTGAAAATCAGTCAGAGGCAACGTTTCAGCTTCGTTGTGTCCGGGAGGCTTTGGAAGTCATTCAGTTGAATATCCAGTGGATGGAGAAGAACCTTAAAACTCTGACATGGTGGTTGTAGCATGCACAACTGCACCTCATTTTGTTGCCCACTCAGAGAGCTTGTTAATTTGGGCTCTGCTGCTTTTGCAAAAGCCAAGGTGAAGCCAAGGATCGCTGCCGAGTTGTTTGCACTCTTAGGAGTTCTAGTTAGCTCAGGGCCTGTCTGTATTTTTCATCTGTCTTTTCTGAAATGTCTTTGGGCGGTGTGTAATTATTTATTACAAAATGATAATCACTTAAATGCCAACCATCTACAAAAACAATGAGTACTTTTTCTACTTTGAAGATACACAAATGGGGAAAAAAATCCGTTTTGGAATTCTCTTCTACTTCTCAATATCTGGAAAGTACTGACGCAGTGAAACAAGGAAAGATCTACCACAGGAGCCTTTGCAGGCTGCTGGTTTGTCAGCTCTTTGTTGCTTCTTGTTGATAGATGTTATTTGAATGTGGTACAAAGTTAGCTTCAAAAAGTATGGCAGTGAAGTTGATGAGGCATGTGACTGTGGAGAACTGATCTCAGGTGTGCAGATCTACTTTGATTTGGGCTTGGATTAATCCTTTATTTCCTGCAAAAGGTTGAAATAAGATCTATAACTATTGTATTTTTTTCTGCAGAATAGCCAGGTGCTACAGAATTTTTTAATTTTTGTTATATTGAAAAGCTAAATAATAAGGCCAAAAGATTAACTTTTCCAAATATTTAACACTTCTTTTTTCATCTTTTAGGAAAATGTTTCAAACCAAGTTAGCTCTAATTATACTTATTTTATTCATAAATTTCAGTATTCTCCAAATCTGTACACCTTTATCACTCCCTGCCATAGATATATCTTATGTTATAAATAAGTATTTCTACATTTATGGCAAGCATTTTGTTAATATTGATGTCTTTTATCATGACTTTATCACTGTTACTAAGATGCCTTTTGGCACGATAGATTATAGATACTCTCTGACTCATACCCATGGGTAGATTTTCATTTTATATGATAGAGTAGCACATTAGAAACATATTTTAAAATAAGGCCTTTGAGAAATTGAACATTTTTATTTGAAGTTCACCATAGTACCTTAAAGGGTTAAAGAGAATGTGGGACAGGAGTACCTTGATTCAGGTTTGATATGGTGGGCTTTGAATTTTTTCTATTATCAAAAACAGTACTTTTCTTTAGTTGATAAATTGTAGTTTTCTTTTGTCATGGCCAAACTAACAGATTGAAAGGAGTGGCCAAGGAATGAGAGAAAGAAAGAAAAATGAGGAGGATATCCAAAATTATATGGCATTTTTACTCCTTCTAAAGGAGAAATATTGTACTTGAATTTTTGAGCTATGCAGACTTATATCTAGATTGTTGTGTTTTTTGATTCTTCGGAGAAAAGCTTTCTTCCTAATAATTCTTCAGTACTTCATATTTTGTTTGAAAACATCATCTATGTACATAAAAAGGGTAGTTTACCCATTTACAAGCACTTAAAAAGACTCCACAGAATCAGACAATGGGAAAGGTCACCTTTTTTTATTCAGCAGGTGTAAAGTGAAAATATGTGGGATTGTGTATAAAATTATATTTTATTTTATGAAAATATTTTTATATAACAAAATTTAAAAGGCTGGCAAGCTAAAAGATAGCTTTCTTTAATCCTAGTGTGTTTTTTGCCCAATTTAGTCTTTTCTAAACATTTATCTCTCTGTTTTAGAGTAGAAAATATTATATCCTGAGAATCACAGAATTATCTAAAGATGTCTTATTGAAACTGGGGTAATCGTAGGTCTTTTTTCCTCCTGTGCTTTAGTAAATGAATGATAATTTAGTTGATACTGAAAGTTAGTGTGTTTTTATATTTCTAGAGTGGGGAAAAATACTAAACTTTTGAGGGTTTTTTTTCGTTGCTGTTTTTTTTACCATATTACTAAATTCCACTTTGATACAGAGTTTAAATTTTGCTACTTCTCGAAATCAGTTAATATTCTTCAGTTATCCCTGCCCATCTTTACATTGCTCCTGTAACATATGTTAACTCTGCATATGGCAAATCTTGTCTTGAATTACAGCATTTTTTCCTGTTGAGTGAGTATATGTGGTGTGGGGGGTATTATTATAGGTAAAACCTTATCAAAACATTGGCTCAAAAAGATCACTCATAATCCATTGCTCTCTTTGTTCTCAAATGCTGTTCATTCCCATGAGACCAGATCTATACTATTTGTAGTTTTATTTGTGGGCCTCACCTCAATTGTTTGTAGTTTTAGTAGGCCTCACTGATCTTCCCACAGAATTTCATACTTTTTAATGTTATGCTAACCCATATCTATGGGACTTCTAAATACTAACTCTAAGTCAGGAATATAGGGTTAAGTAATAGGTAGAACATGTAGTATAATAATTGTACCTTTTAAAATTTTTTCCCCAAAACTTTATCTTAGCCTCTGTATTTCTAAGAACTCAAATAGATTGAAGCACAGCAGTCACGGTATGCTTTTTTCATATAAGCACATAGATCCATGACACAATTGAGTACTTGTTTGACAAGTATTATATTCATTGTAGAGAGACAGTCTACTCAAATGTAATAATAAAAGACATTACACTTGGTTATTAGAAAAGTTAAAACTGGAAATCTGGAATTGTAGAAGAAAAACATATGCTTTGGAGACCTGAAAGGCTATGAAAATAGAAATCTAAAGAGTCCAGTTTGTTTTGTTAATATCAAGTGATTGGATATATTAAACTACAAGTAGTGTCAGCTTCCACCATAGACTTGTGCCTTCCTCCATTTCACTGTTTTATATAACTCTCTTTAAGTGAAATTGTGTTGCTTGCCATTGTTTCAGTGTTCATGATCTTTCTTACTATCACAGGTTCTACTTAACTCTAATGTCCTTTGCCATTCTTGTTTTAATTTTGTTGTACTTTAGCCACTGTGGGGAAAAGAGAGCTGGCGGAAGAGCTCTGGGTATGTACATCAGTCTTACTGGGTACAGAACAGAATTCTTTCTGAATATTGGAAAATAAGAAATGAAAGTTAAATGCTGAGTTTGCTGGATTACTGATAGCCTGTTACTGAGTTTGATTTTAAATGAGTCTACTCAGACTAAAGCACCTGGAACCATAATCTACAGTCAGATGGCTGAACATTCACATAATCCCTGTGCATTTCATGAGGCTGCAGGGAAGGTGCGTGCATCTCAGGAGATGTATCATCACCAAGGACAGCAGTTCCTGGCCTGAGTTTGCAAAACAAGCCTCCCCTTTACCTTTGTTATCTGTTTTTATTGGAATTAACTCTCTTTTTAAAGAGCTCCCTCTATGCCCATTTGTACTTTAAAAAAATGATGTATATATTTTTGATGGATTTTTTTTTTTTGCATTCTTTTATTTTGTTCTTCATTCTCTACATTGGCAAGTAAGTACCAAATGAACAGTAGAGGTCCGAAAGTATGAAAAATCTCCTCTTCTCCCTTTCCCTTCTTGCAAGCATGGGTAATAGCTAATAGAATAGTTGGTTGATTTCTTTGAGTGGCTTTTGGGGGGGGTGTATACTTAATAAAAATACATAAGTATTTATGTATTTTTGATGTGTTTTTATGTTCTTTCATTTTATGTATTTTGTCCTGATGAAAAGTGAAATATTGTCCTGTGAAAATCTCTTTTGCCTCCCCGTATTGCCTGTGTGGGCAACAGCTATAGAGCAGTTATCTGTGATTGCCTTTTTTAGAAGGAGATGGTGATATTAGGAGGAGACCAGAGTATCTTCTTTTAAAAATGTGTACAAATGTTTCTGCTGCTACTTTGTGGGTGTCGTTTCATTTTATATCTTATTCGTCCTTCTCATCGATATGTAGATATCTAATAAACTGCGAGGTCCAAAAGTATAACAAATGTCCCATTTACCCCTCTCCTTGTTGCTTGCATAAACAATAACCTAGTCGTTGTAGTTGCTGTTGTTTAGTTGCTGTTGTTTAGATCTGGCCTTAGGGGCATGGGGGGAGGGGTTATATATCATCCTTTCAAGTGTAAATACATATTCTGCTACTTATTTATATTTCATTTTATATGTTTTCTTCTGCATGGATGCATATGTACTTAATGAAACGAGGTTCAGTGTGAACAAATTCCCTTTTCTTTATTGCCTCTTTGGACAGTAGCTAATAGAGGAATTTGTTTGATGGTGTGGGGGAGAATGGGACATGTATTTAATGTATATAAATACATTCGCTCCTACTTTGTATTACTAATTCATTTGTACTCTGTCCTTCTCATAGGACATGAAAGTACCTGATGAGACGTGGAAGTCCGGATGTATGACAATCTCCTCTGGTCCCCTTCCCTTTTTGCCTGCATGGGCAATGGCTAGTAGAGTAGTTGATCATTTTCAGGAGTTCTTTTGTGGGTATTGGGAAAAATGCTTTTTTAAATATATGTAGATGTTTTTACTTTCACACTAGAGTATTTTATTGAGTACCCAGTCCTTCCCTTGGATATGTAGGTTCCTATTGAACCATGGAGTTCTGATTGTATAACAATCTCCTCTTTTCTGTTTCCCTTTTTATCTCTGTAGGCAATAATTTTAAAGTAGTTTGAGTTTTTTGAAGTTTTGGGGGGTGGGAAGGGACTAAGGGTAGGACTTATACTTTTGAAAACTGTATATACAGTGTTTATTACTATGTTGTATTATTCCATTTTGTACCCCGTCCCTTGCTTGGACATGTAGGTACCTAATGAAATGTGGAGGTCCGGATGTATGAAAATCTCCTCTTTTCCCCTTTCCTTATTGCCTCTGGAGGCAATAGTCTTAGAGTAGTCTAGATTTTTTTTTTCTTTTTACTCTACCACTCCTTCTCCTAGGAGGGTGGGGATATGTACTTTTTAAAATGTATATAAACGTTTTTGTTTCTTTTATCTGTTACTTCATTTTGTACCTAGAACTTTCCATGGATACTTAGGTAACATGATGAAAATTAAGGTTCACTCTATGAAAAAAATCTCCCCTTTTCCCCTTCCCTTGTGGCCTGTCTGGGCAATGACTAGTGGCATAGTTGTTTAGAGGGATTTTGTTTTTGTTTTTGTTTTTCAGCAGGGTGTTAGAGGATTTCTGGGTTTGCATTTTTAAAATTGTATATAAGTGTTTGCTACTTTTTTTGTTCTTTTACTCCAAACCTAGTTTTCTGTTTGGACTTGTAGATATCAAATGTAATGCAGAGGCCTAGATACAGAGGTGTGGTAAATCTTTTCTCCCCGCCACCTATAACCAGTGTTCAAAGGCAATAGTACTTTAGGGCTTGGTTTTTGTTTTAGTTTGTTCGTTTTTGAGGTTTTTAATGGGGAATGGGCTTGTTAAGCAAGATATGTAATTTTTTAATTGTATATAAATGTTTTTACCTCATTTTGTTGTTCACTTCGTTTTAACTCTAGTCTTTGCATGACTATTTAGGTACTTAATGAAAGTTGAGATTGATTCTATGAAATATCTCCCATATTCCCTTTCCCTCATTGCCTGGTGGGCAATCGTAGAATAGATGTTTGGTTGCTGTGTTTGGAAGAGTGGGGGTGGGTGGGGGAGGTCTGTGTGTGTGTGTGTGTGTGTGTGTGTGTGTGTATGTGTGTGTATGTGTGTATATGTATATATTTCTAATGTATATAAATGTTTGCTACATTTGTGTATTATTTCATTTAGTACCCAGTACTTTGCTGGGACTTATAGGTACATAGTAAAACATGGAGGTCCAGATGTATGATAAATCTCCTCTGTTCCCCTTCCCTCTCTGCCTGCATGGGCAATAGTTTTATAATTTGGGTTTCTTTTTCTGGGGGGCCGGATTATTTGGGTGAGTAGTAGTTAAGGGAAAAGCACAGGATATGAACTTTTAAAATATATGTATATAAATGTTTTCTTGTTACTGATTTTGTACCTAGTTCTTTGCATGGGTGTATATGTACCTAATGAAAATCGAGGATCAGTGTATGACAGATCTCCTCTCCACCCTTCCCCTTATTGCCTGTGTAGGCAACAGTGAGTAGAATAGTTGTGTGTTGTTCACTGAGTTTGTTTGGGAGGGATTTATATTTTTGGTAAGGGAATATTTTTAATACATATAAATACGTTTTTATTTCTTTGTTATTTCATTTGTATTAGTCTTTTGCATGACTACGTAGGGACCTAATGAAAATTGAGTTTCATAAATTGAAAGATCATTTCTTCCTTTCCCACATATTTCCTCATTTAGCAGTAGCTAGCATAGCTGTTGTTTTGTAGTCATTTTGTTTTATTCTCTAGGATATAGGCCTTTAAAGATGTAAATATATATGCACATACATAATTTGCTTTTTTCCCATTACTTTTCTTTAATACTAGTCCCTTGCAGGGCTCTTAATATAGCTAACAAATAAAATCTCACCAAATCCCTGCCATCTGACTTGAAAGTATAGCATTGTGATGGTGTCACTAATGGCAGTGGGCATGTAGCCAGTAAGATGAGAGAAGACACTTGGATATGATTGAGTTGTGAAAGCTAATCAGATCCAGCATTTCCTGTGTCCATTCAAACTGAATGAAATGACGAAAAGGGACCTATGCTTTGGAAGCTCCAGAAAGGCAAGAGGACAGTACTAAGTAAAACAGTGTTTGAAGTTTATTGCTAACTAATCTTTTAGTGACTGGTAAGCCAGTGAAAGACCCTTGTGAGTAGCTTCTGTTGAGTCTTGGAATTCCAATTCATCTATAGGAGTCTGTTGCAGTTCCATCAATAGCATGTTCTTGTGTACTTGGTAGAAATTATTTTGCCATTTGTAATGAATCTTTTGAGTTATTGCTGTGGTTCCAGTGAATCATAACATCGGCCCATAAACTAATCCCAAAAGAATTTGGGGACAAGACCTTTCTATCTTATGGTATGGACAAGTTAGTCCTTTCCTACCCAGAGCTCTTCTATGTGACTGCATCTCTCTCCTCAGTTCTCCATTAGCTGGACCATTTTTGTTTTGTTTTGTTTTCTTTTCTTTTCTTTTCTTTTTTTTCTTCGGTGCCTGCACTGCTAGATGTTATTTTCAAGTGCACTCAAAAATGTAAGCCATTGTTACCTCATTAGCTGTATGTTTTTGCATTCATTTCATACATCCAGACCTGTTTGTTTGCTTTCAGCATTCTCAAATCATGTGTCATACTGACTCTTCATCCACCACATGGCAAATAATATGACTCCACATGTGTCCGTATCAAAGAATGCATGTGTAAAATCCATCCCTCTGTTCTTCTCTTCCTCCCTTCCTTCCTTCCTTCCTTCCTTCCTTCCTTCCTTCCTTCCTTCCTTCCTTGCTTCCTTTCTTTGAGCTTCTGAACATTATTGGTTTGTTCTGCAATTTATAATGAATATAATGCTGAAGATTTGCCATATTCTTATTTTTTTTGGAAACATTGAGTGATAAGACTCTAAAAAATTTGCAGAGATGTTATTTACCATATCAAATTCTCAGGTTCTAGTGTTGAAAAGTTAGCCTATACATTGCTGTTACTTATACTTGCTGCTGTACAAAAAAATAAAAGTTGTATTCATGACACATCTAACTTTGATCATAAATAAAAGAGAAGGGGGCACCTTTTTGGAGTTAGTCACGGTAGTCAGTGATATTTCTGAACAGTTCTTAATTTGAAATACTTCAAAAGAAGTAAAGGTCATGGTTTAGTTGAATGAAGTGCTCCAGAAGTTGAACTGTATAAGCCATCAGTACAATAATACACTCGTGTGTATATCTTAAAAGATTTCTTCCTTCGTGTGTGTGTGTGTGCGCAGGCACGTGCACTCACGTATATAAAATGAGAACTACATCATAATTGGAGCTTTTGCATTAATCAGCAAACTCACATTGAGACAAAACTTAATTTTACAGCTATTTCAAGCCAAGTGTTCCATGTTGCTGTGAAGAATAGTCTCTTTCAAACACTTTGAAAAGTAATTACTTGGAAGCTTGTAAGGGTCTTACATTTTTGCATTTAAACACCTATTGAGATCTCCAATTCTTTGAATCTGAGCTCGAGGGTGGAATTCTAAATTTGTATCATAATCTGTCTCTTGTGGAAGACTTTGGAAATAGTATGTATATATATAATACTATGTATGCAAATTTTGTGTTGTGTCACTCGTAAAGGGAAAAGGCTTATTTTTCTTTATACTCCTGATAACTTGTTTTGCATATGACCAGCACTGACTGAAAGGCATGTGTAATTGCAAACACTGTTGCTTTTGTGTGTGTGTGTGTGAAATGAAAATAAAAGTATTTAAATATAAATACTGTGTGAACTATTTGGATGGAAAAAATTACATATGTAAAGTGGTGTATCTTCTCAGATTACAAATAACCATATTTCACTGTTTTTCATAACTTATTTAGTACCTCACCAGTACCCCAGTATCCTTACTGCAGATTAACTCAGGGTTTCTCAAACTCACACTATTGCCATTTCGGCTGTCCTGATCATTGTATAATAATTACCATACCTGGCCTCTAATGCATATAAAAACTGGATGCCAGTAGAAACTCCCCCACCTCCAGTGTGACAACCAAAAATGTCTCCGGACATTGCCAAATGTCCTCTGGGGCAGAGGGCGGAGGGTGGCAGGAGTGATTAAAACTTTCAGTGGGTGCATGGTTGCAGGAAGCTCAGCAACAGATGAACTCTGTCTGGGGCAATTATTTACTTCTGAGACTGAAGTGATTCTTTTAAACCCTGGGTCACCTGAGTAGCCAGTTGATACTGTAATAATTCAGTACCTAAATCAGTATAAGACATGTAACTTCTTGTGTCAGTGAAACCAAGGAACACTCACTATCTAAATTTGAAGGTGAAAGGACCTTAGCTGTTACCAGGGAACACCCCTGGCCTTGATTCACATCTGATTGGAGTGCGAGTGCATGGGTTTTTTTTAAGGGACACTGCCAATTACACCCCTAGTCAGGTCTACAAAAGGTGCTTCTTTATTCTGTCCCTATGAGTAGTCCTGAGGCAGAATCGAGAATTTCTTAGGGTTCCAAATGTGGAACTAGAACCACTATTCTTTTATAGTAATAATTAGGGCTTAATGTGGGCAGTTTAGGACAAACACAGTGTCTCTTAATCCCCTTACCCAAACTCTATTTCCTGGTACACAAAATAACCTTTAAAAATCTCTTATGGAGGTCATTAACAGTATAGTGGGGAAGATGCTCTTAGGAATTGCAAAGATTTTGATCAAAAGCTTTTCATTAAATTTTTGATACTTTTTTTATTTAGGATATCTGCAGTAAACAATTAGACTAAAAACTACAATAATGTAGAGTAGAACACTTTGATTCCAATGGACTTTTTGGATGGAGAGTAATAAGCCATTTTCTATTTTTCAAAATTATTTTTAGAGCTCATGGTACAGAAGGGTTTGATCTGGTTATATTTTCTTTTTGCTTTACTTACCATAAGGCCTTCCCCTGATCCCCAACAACAACACACACAAAAGTATACAGTGCTTACTACAACTTGTGTGCGAGTTGAACAGTTGACTTACATGCATGTGGCCAAGTGCATCAGGAGCTCAATGAGAGTAATAGCCTGTAGTTAGCCGCTGGCCCCGTGATTTAGAGGACCGGTCTGTGGCCTTTTGCTATTTGGACATACTCCTTGGAGTCTCATCCCTTCAGGCAACATATCAATTATTTCAAATAATTAATTGTTCTCTTAAAAGGAAACTTTGTGTACCTCTTTAGACTGGCAACCGTCTTCTTCCTAAGTATGTTTTTCTAAGCTAATATGAAAATTGGCTTATAACATCTGAGCACATACTGGCTTTAGATGAGAGAAACAGCCATAAATTGAAGCAGTGGAAGAAGAAAGCCATGCCATACTTTTTAAATGTTTTTCGTGGGCCATTCATTCAGTAAATATTTGTAATCATCCACTATGCACCAGGCCCTGTGCTAGCTAGGTGGGTACATGAGGCTTGACTCTATAATGTGAGCAGCTGGCTCCGGCTGGGAAAATGCCACCTGGGTTTTATAAACACTGCCGGCATGGTGGGTGGTAGATCGTCGAGGGCATTTGGTTTATGAGGAACAGAAGTAAAGGGTGTCACAGTGGGAGGTTTTAAGCTATGAGGCTGGTAGTGCTGCAGCCACTTCATAACAGTATCTGCCTTGAGTGGGCCGGGGTTGCAGACACTCATTCCCCAGCCAGAATTCTCCCTCTGCTCATCTGGGAGTGCAATGTAACGTGAGAAATGGAGACCGTGCAACCGATGCTGCTTAAGTGCCCACATTTAATACCTGTGTCACTGAGAACTAGAGGTGCTTCGAACCGCGCCCATAACCACACAGGTATTCCTTCCTAAGAGTGTTCTAATGACAGGAGGCGGCAAGTTAATTGCCTGTTTCAGTTTCACTCCAGGTTTCCCCTAACTTCTAATTAGCAATAAATGAGCCTAGCTCCCCTTGACCTGAGCTGTAAGTGATTTCTTGTCCGAGTCTCTCAGTGTGCCTAAGCAAGCATAAGGAGAGTGTTTCATGATAAACTTATAAAGTATGGGGTCTTGACTTACACCGAAATTCAATAAAAGGTGGAGGGTCTGTAGCTCCTTGTATGTTGAAAACCTATAGGTGACGTAATGAATTAAATGTGTCATACAGAGCATAATGAATTAAATGTGTCATACAGGAAATGCACTGTTTGTCTGCTTGGCTTCTAAATGACAAGCACCCGCCTCAATTATTTCAATTATTGCCCTCTAGCCTTAGTAATCAGAGCAGGATTTCTGATCTTTGACCTTGCCAGCATCCTGGCCTTAAATTGTGATCAGTCTGCGGAAGTCTTTGAGAATGTGCCTGAGATGCAGTGTCAGCTGGGATGTGGCAGAAAAACCCTGGTGGCCTCTTTTCTTGCCCAGTGCTCACCAGGAGAGGCAAAGAACAGCTGGGAAGACTTGTCTGCCCTGAGATGGCTTAGAGTCCACACAGCCTTCGTTGGAGGGACCCCAGACTCACAGTAGGGGAAAGTTGGATGAAATTGAAGGAATCCTGGGAAATGTGTGCCTTGTGAGGGGACATTAAAGAAAAATACTTTTAGGTAGAGTGGCCATAAGCAGAAGATTTCCCTGTGTATTTTGAAAGAGATGATTAGCTAGCTCTAAAAGGTACATACAACTTCCTGAAAATTGGGCAGAGCCGTGGTTCGACTTAGGCAGCCCAGAAATCTCCAATGACCAGGAAGGGAGTTGAGATGTGATGAGCAAGATTTGCTTCAGCAGGAGCTCTGGACGGTGGTGCTTTTCCAGGGCAGCCAGAATCCTCTCCAGGAGGAGACATGGGCCTGGCCGGAGGCCACCTCATCGCAGGGATGGGAAAATACTACCAGGTCCCTGCAGGCAAGGGATCTTTCCTAGGATCTGTGGAACAAGGGTCCTCACGGGGTAGGAAGGAAGAGCGCTGATCCTCCGAGGTGTTCCTTGGTTACCTAGCAGATGGTTGTCCCAAGTTAGCCCACAAGTCTGCTGCTGGTTTGCCATAAAACATGGTTTTAAGTGACATCATCCCAGGTATACAGAAGAGAAATACAGCTAAGGCTCTTCAGCTTACAGCTGCTCCAAGATGTCATCTTTCATGCTGTACCAACACAGCTCTTCAAATTATTGGCAGAAAAATATAGAAAGAACATTCAGACCAGACTAATCTAATAAGAAGGATGGGTATTTGAAGGCATTGGGCACTGGACTTCATGGGAGAAAGCCGTCTGGCAAACATTCTTCCTATGATTTTTTGCAGCTCCAGTCTTCATAAGTGTTTGTTCAAGGTGATGCTATTTCGAGTCAGGTGCTTCATGATTTAGAGTACTGTGCTTATTGATGCTCTATATACACTAATGATCCACTCGTGCAGACCCTCTTGGGAAAGCAAGAAGCATCCCTAGAGCAGTGCAGCCTCTCCCTTGCTACATGCAGGCCCGCCAGTGTCTGAGGATGGGATGGAGAGAAGCAGGTAGGTCAAGGTTTCTAACATCTCAAGTATATGGAGCTGCTTAGTTCTTCAAACCCTTGTATATTACCTTTATCCCCTTGCTTACTACCGATAAGAACTAATTTCTGGCCCTAGCAAAATAGAGGTGGAAGACATTGCAAGAAAAAGAAAAACTGCAAACAAATATCTTATAACTATTGGTGCAAAAATCTTCAACTAAATACTAGCAAACTGAATCCAACAACGTATATAAAGGATTATTCATCATAACCAAGTGGGATTCATCGCAGGGATGCAAGTGAGATTGGTTTAATATAAAAAAAATCAATTAATGTAAAATATCATATCAATAACATCATAGAATAAAAAATAAAAAGATGATCATCTCACAGATGCAGAAAAATATCTGACAAAAAAACTAATACACTTTTATGATAAAAACACAACAGACTAGGAATAGAACTTTCTCAATCTGTTAAAGGGCATCTATGAGAAACCCATAGCTAATAGCATCACACTTAATGGTGAAAGACTGGAACATTTTCTTAAGATGAAGAACAAGATGAAGGTGTCTACTCTTGCTACTTCTATGCAACATTGTAGTGGAGATTCTAACAAGACAATTTGGTTAAAATAAAATAATAATAATAACAACAATAATAATAATAAATAAGCATCCAGATTAGACAGGAATAAGTAAAACTATTTCTATTTGCCCCATTCTCTTATACATAGAAAGCCCTAAAGTATATTTAAAAAAACTGTTAGAGCTAATAAATGAGTTTAAAAGTTTGCAGAAGACAAAGATCAATATTCAAAAGTCAGTTGTGCTTCTAAACACTAACAATGAACAATCCAAAAATGAAATTAAGAAATCAATTTTATCTACAGCCGTGGTACCCTGAACAAGCTCGATCCCGTCTGATTTTGGAAGATAAGCAGGTTAGTACTTGGATGGGAGACCGACCACCTAGGAAGACTAGGTGCTGTAGGCATAAAAAATAAAAAAATAAGGGACTATAAGCTGAGAACGTCCTTGCAATCTCTGAGGTCAACCAAGGGTTGCCTCACCTAGGAAAAAGAAAAAAAAAGAAATCAATTCGATACGATAGCATCAAAAAATTAAAATACTTAGGAATAAATTTTTTAAAAGTTCAAGATTTATACACTGAAAACTATAAAATATTGCTGAAAGAAATTAAGATTTTAATAAATGGAAAGACATCCTGTGTTCATAGACTGTAACACTTAATATTATTAAGATGACAATACTCTTCAAATTAATTTAGAGATTCAACATAATTTCTATCAGA